TCGCTGAGCTGCGGACGAAGGAATTCACAATCAGGGACGTCCCAATCTTCTGCACCTTCGAGCGCGGGGCGGGAGCACGGTCATAGAATACTAAGGTAACACGGAGCCGAAGCTTCAAGCCAGGGGACACGGGAGGCATGCCGTCAGCTGTCCATTTATAAATAATCGGTTTCTTTGACTTAATTTCTAATGTTTTTCTGATGTTTTGCATCAATGAGGTACATCAAAAATTAAGTTTTATTTTTTTTGAGGTCGAAAATATTTTGTTGTCCAAACTATCCCCGTTTAAAGAAAATAGACAAGGGGAGAGTTTACCCAGGACCCTATGGAGAGAGTCAACCCAGAGGGGTGTTCACGGGCACCGCACACTGCTGCGTGCGGTGTGTGCGGTACGTCCAGCAGGCGTGGGGTAGGGGATGGGTAGGCGGCTCTGACGCCACGGCTGCGTGCGGTGGACGGTCCGCTGTGGCCAGTCCCGACCGGCCACAGCGGTCGCTGTGTGCGGTGACGCAAGGCTGACGTAGGGACGCAGTGGGCGGAGTTTGGAGGCTGTGTGCGGTCCGACCGCACACAGGGTCCGTGAACAGCCCTCAGGGCCCTATGGGAGAGAGTTAACACGTGCTTCTATGGGGCGAATTCGATGCAACAATGGCGCAGTAGCGACATTACTCTTGTTCGATGTTTTTCGGACGACAAAGATTCTACGCCATTCGGCCAATCACATTCCATAATTGCAGCCGAGCCCCCGTTGATCTAGAACGGGATTGGCCGGACGACGTACAATCTTCGTCGTCTGAGAGACATCGAACGAGGGGTACATCGACTGAACATACATTGCGATTCAATATTCAGTATTTTATGACCGTGATTGCAATCCAAATTTGCATTTGAGCTCAGCAGTCGAGTGTGGTGCCAAAAATACCAAAAAAAGCGATGTCCTATATACGGCCTTGACCAGAAGTGTTGCATGCCCTGGATGCAGAAAAACAAGATTGAGATGAGTGGATCAAGATGTATCTTTCGTGCAGATGTATCAAGATCCTTTCACTTAAGATCCATGCAGGTGAGGTTCCAGTGAAATTTGAATTCGATAGGTAGCTATTTTTGATTTTGCTTTGATACTTGTGGTAAGGAAACATGATTATGGTTGCATGAACCGCCCACTGCTCATTGCTGTCTTGTCTCACGTTCGATATCCGATCACCATTCTTAAATAGCTCACCCCATATGGAAATCAGGTTTCAGGAGGCCACTAGGCTTGTGGGGCCTGGTCTCAATGAGCTCCCAGTGCTAAGGACAGTCAGGCTCATATGCTGGGTAAGGTCAGGTTCAGGTAGGCCAGTATGCACTCTGCAAAGCATGGCAATTTCGACAAGATCTCGTCTGTGCTGGCTTGTCCGGCTGGTGAGGCTTTGGTGTGGCGTGGATTTAGCTTGGTGCAGTGCGGATTTTGTGTAGCGCGGTGCAGATTTGGTCTGGTGTGGTCAGGTGGTGGGGGATGTAGTGTAGTGCATTTTAAATGTGGCTGATAGGTGTGCGGTGGTCAGAACGGACTGTGCCAGTGCTGGTGCCTGGTGGTCCCACCAATCACGGGGGTCATCTCCTGTTGTGACCCAGGGCCCAGGGGGTCTAGTCAAAACCTTACCTATTTCTGCTAACCTAAACCTATTTCTTACAAATTAGGCATAAATGTGATTATGGTATAATGATAATTAAACCTGGCCCTTTTTCAGGCGCAAGCTTTGGATGAACTTCTGCTTCTGCGGTCGGCATTCTTACAGGAGAACCTAAGATTCATTGTACCTACCTGTATGCATTTCAAAACTGAATAATTGATAGCAACAAGTAAATATTTGAAGTTGCAGCCAAATGCTGTGCCTTCTCTGCTGCAAGAGCTACATGTCACCATTGAAGCAAGGTAAGTGTTAAAAGAAATTGTTCACCTTCTGTGAGTAACTTGATAAATAAAATTTAAAAAGGTGTGTTAAAAATGTGATGAATAAATTTCAAATGTATTCTTACTTGGAATTACACACTTCTTCTAAAGGGATTTCATTATTTTAATGATTAGAGTTATGAACACTTACAGCTGAACAACCTATCAGCTGCAAGGGATTCTGCTCCTGTAAGTGCTCTCATCGCTGATTGGCCACTGTGTGTGTTGAAGAGGTTTCTGCTTGCTGTAAATGAGCACTAGAACATTAATTTAAGCACCAATATTCACTGATAAAAGGTGAATATCTCAAACGGTTCAAATATAAGGCATACACAAATCTGCTCTATCAGACTGCTATCTCAGTTTAAAATCCCATGTTAAAGGTGAACTATTTCCTCGACAGGACCAGCTCGACTCCTGCAGTAGGAGTCCAGCTTCGTCCAGTCGTCGCCGCTCGCCAAGACCAGCCGGACTCCTGCAATAGGGGTCCAGGCTGACCCGTTCGTCCAGTAACCGCCGCTCGTCAGCACCAGCTGGGCTCCTGTAGTAGGGGTCCAGCCTCGTCCAGTCGCCGCCGCTCGCCAAGACCAGCTGGGCTCCTGTAGTATGGGGCTAGGATGGCCCGTTCATCAACCGGTCCTGAAGTCACATCGCCGTCAGCCAGCCGAACTCAGTACATAAGTCACCAACCCTGAATGTTGCCAGCCAAAGTCGGCAGTTTCCTTCGGACAGTCATCTCACCAGTGTTGTACAGTGTACGAGGTTAGTGACGCAGTTAAATGCGTCAATTAAATGCGAGGACGTGCGCTTGTATGCAGCGTTTTGTCATGTTGAGCTGCATGGGTGTCGATTTTCACCGAATTGAGGGTGCCCACTGCCCGGGCGCAGCAAATCCGCCGCTGCCTTAGCGGTGACCTTGACCCGCACCGTCTGTTGGGGCTCCAAAGCCAAGCCAGCCGAGCCGGCGGGGAATCTAAAGAGCTGGAGCACCCCCAACCCGGCGGAAATTGACACCTATGTTGAGCTGTATGGATGCGTTTTAACCTTCCGCCGTGGTGGTAAATAGCAGCCTACATGCAGAATTAGGCAGGCTTATTAGCGGACTCATTATTGGATTCATTGTGTCACGTTTGTCGGCACGCGTAAGATGTGCTTAACTGCCATTAGCTCTCGGCCTGGCGACTTCTGGGGACCACGTAATGGGGATGACAATTGGGATCCTGTGCCTTAAGCCGGCCATTTAGTCCATGGCTATATACCCCCGTACTAGGGCTAGTTATGACGTATATAGGGATCCACGACATCTTTTTTGATGAATGTGTTGTGCAGTGTTGAGATCCGCGTGTAACGTCACTGTTTGGCCAGTCTGCCCTCAAACGCGTCATCTTTACTCGTATTTTATTTACTGAACGCTTTGCATGGTCCAGTGGTTTATATAGACATCTTCCTTGCACTAGCTAGTTTTATGTGGCCAGGTTGATTGCCTGTCAGCGCGGTCACGCTGTCGTCTTTCGATTGGTGCGCTTAAATGCGGCGAGATGAATATAGGATTTCCTTTGATGCTATTTAGTACCTGCGCCCAGCTCAACTGGGGAAGGGGGGGGGGGGGCACTGCCGACTTTTGGTCCCATTCTTTCCATGTAACGCCCATAGAGCCCATTGTTAAAATGCCAAAATCAAAGGGGGGCACGGTGCCCCGGTGCCCTCCCCGTTCCGCCGCCTATGCGCGAAAGTACCAACTACCAACAGTTTCCAGTTGTTTGTGTCCCAAAGTTTTTTATGAGTTGGACGATTGGGCCTTTCCCATCGCTCGTTATGCAATTATTTTGTTAAACGCTCTAAAATTGTTTCTCTACAAGTCATTAGAACTTAGAAGCAAATAGATATTGATGGATACGATCTCAAGGGGGCCGATAAGAAGGAAGAGCGCGCGGCGCAATGATTGTGGAGCACAGCACACGATTAATGTGAGGCGCATTTAAGCGAGAAATAACTTCATTGAACAGAAATGAGCAGAGTACCAGCATTGAAACTGCACCAGTACCAGCATTGAAACTAAATATAAGATATCTCAGAAGGTTGCGCTTTTGGGGCCGAGTTGTGGTGCTTTACGCCGTACATCATGCTTAATGAATGTGACCGTCGTGTTTGTGGGATCCACGTCGGTACTAGTCAGCCCCACGAATCGTGGTAGATCATAAAGATAATCTTCGCCTCCGGTTATGATTTTGATATAGGTATCTACGAAACGGGTGCTGGGTGGTACACGAAAGCAGCTTTTTCAGGTGAGTTGAAAGGGGAAGAGGTTCTTTGAATTACCATTTCGGACCATGGTTCTAAAAAGCGCTAGTTTAAAACTATTGTTATAATTCCTATCGTAAACCATCGGACGCTCGACGCTGCATTGGCATTGGTACGATGTGCCGGTAATCGCTTCGCTCGCCGAGAATGATAGCGTGGCAGGTTTACTGATATGTAGGATTATCAAATAAATGTAATAGAAACGATATTAAATCCACTACCTCTTTAGAAGCTCTTGAAATAAACCTGGCTATCTGGTTGTCGAAGCCAGGCAAATTATATGCTTGGAATGGCTAAATGTCCATTGTCCATGACATCATTAAATTGAATTATTTTCCTTCTTAGCACTTAAAATACATTTCAGCGACACAAAACTCCCAAAAGTCTGATATCTTGCCCGTGGTATCGTGGTACGATCGGCGAGTACCTAAACCTTCCTACGCAATGTCCATGGCTATGCGAAGTCTAAGGTTGGCCTACATAAGCCTTGGGTTGGCCTGTTTATCCTGTTTCATATCGTATCTATGATAATAAAGTGTTCACGATCGCATAGCCAAACTGAGAACAAAATATTTATTTGCAAAACTCCAGCAATACCCCTCGCTTGATACTATAAAAAATATTGCACACGATCATGCGAAGCCGTGAATCCTACCGCCTTTATTTAGCGCCGGCGTTCCCGCGTTAATAATTTCTCCTGAATCGGAGGACCAATAATCAGCTGACGCACCGTTGTTTTGATGTCGGCGGACCGTGCCAGCCTGGGCGGGAGGATAGAGGGGGAGGGGAAATCGGAAGCGGGGAGGAGGGCAAGAGGGGGAAGAGGCGGAGGAGGTCGGGGTAAAAGAAAGGAAGGGGCCCCTTACTAGGCCTAAATAAATAATTTTTTTCTTCATTTTATTTTTATTTTTTCCAAAAATATTGATATGCTTTGTTTTTGAGCCAGATACCAAAACAAATATATTTTTGAACTTGCATTCCGTTTTTGATTCCATCCATCACTAGCCTGTCAGCTGTAGCTGCCTGCGACGAAAAACAACGTGTGGGGTGAATGGCGAATCGCCCGTTTTGCTGAAGAATGACTCAAGGAGCTGTCTGCGCTCAAGAAATGGCTTGGCAACCAAATGAAGATGGTTTGAAGCAGATTTTGCAACTTCTCAAGGAGTCGCAATCGCCTAATACGGAAACTCAGGCGGCGGTGCAACGTGTATCCTTTTCATAGGTTCATCGACCGTTAGTGAAGGGCCAAAAGCTTACGTCCATTTGTTTCTTGCTTGGAAGGCTTATTTGACATTGAATTGGTGCTATGGGTTGAATTATATAGTTTGGAATTAGTATTTGGATGGTTTTTTACCTCCAAAGCTTATGCGCCGCATTTGTGACGTCTCATCCTGCATTGCAATTTTAATGCTAAATCTTATTATGTGGTATCATAAGGAAATAAGTGTATGTTCTTTACATCTGCAATTACTTTTTTCATTATCTCACCGTTGAACTTGTTTAGAAACTCAGGAAACTGCCTTTTAAAGGTCTCGGGTTCAAAGTTTTGACTTCCGAGATATTGTAAATCCAACTAGCGGCAATATGTATTTAATGCTAATAAACACGCATGAAATACCAAAATTATTCAGGCATATTAGAGTTTAGATTAGTTATCAGTGACTCTGAATCTTGTTGCTAGCTTTCAATTGCTTGTGGCATATTATGCCATCATTATTGATTAAATTTGAATTTAGCTTACCTATGGAACACCATTGACATTATTTCATCACTTATTTGACATTTTAGTAATGATATCATTTTAGGCTAGTAAATTATGTTTTTCTAGATATTAAGAGTTTTTGGAAGCTGTTCCAACTTTCTGGATATACCTACTCTGCTTATTGCTTAGGGGTTACTAACACTTTCTACCTATTTAATAGGCATTTTAAAGACAGAAATGCCTGACATGAGCTTCATGAATGTTGTATTACTTGTCACTTGCTTAAATGCAGTGCTGTATGCTGCTTCTGATCAGTAGAAGCAAGTGTGTCATACAATCCATTACAAGCATATTGCTTTTTATCTAGACATCAGCACATTTATGTAATGGCCCTGAAATAAATAAGATGGACTCATCAAGTCAAAACTGTTATAGAACTTTATTTAGTTATTCTTGCTTTTGAAGTTAAGTTTACCTTTTTCAATTATGTGTATGTCTTTTAATGAAGTTCCAAACCATAAATACCCTTTCTCTTGAGGCCTGTACCTTTATCATTTATGGTCCAGGAAAAGAGTTAAAAATCTTTATACAAAGAGAGCATGGCATACAAACCTATTCCCTAGAGGATTTGTGCTGTTTGACCACAAGTTTTTCATGATTTTTATCTCATGATTTATTTTCCATTAACATTTTGTTTCATGCTTTATGAACTTAAGGCACAAAGATGTGAAACAAATATTTTGACATTCATATGCACCCAAAACACAAGAACAGACTCAGGTGAAAGAAAATGAAATGTTAATATTTTTTAGTTTTCTTTTTCCCTAATCATTCTGGTTATTTTAGGAGAACCACTATCAGAGTAAGCTATGCTATTTTATCATGCACACATTATTTGTTGAATCCTTGACAGCAATGACAGAGACTCGAGGAGCTCAACAAGTACCCTGATTTCAACAACTTCTTGGTCTATGTCCTCACAAAGCTGAAAACTGAGGGTAAGTTGAAGGTACCATCATTCTGAGAAGTGATTCAACTCTTCATATAAATATGGTCATTGGAGTTTTTTGTTTGGTTTTAATTTCTGTGATAAACTTTTGATAACCTTAATGTTATATTATTACAGTCACTTTGTGGTTGAAGCTTAATTGTCAAATGTCACAGATGCATACTAAGTAAACATGCAGACTTAAGTTTGTGCTTTATACTGGTTATGTGACTGACAGAATGATATCTTTGCTCCCAATTTTAGATGAAGCAACACGGTCCCTGAGTGGACTGATATTGAAGAACAATGTGAGGACATACTTCCAGAAGCTACCACCTCAAGTTGCTAGCTTTATCAAGCAGGAATGCCTGAATGCAATAGGAGATCCCTCACCCCTCATCAGGGCAACCATAGGTACTGTTATTTTATTAATATTTCAGAGTAGCCTTGCTGATGCATTTTTATTATAGAAATGAATACATAAATGTGTACCATTTAGTCTTCATCATGTTGAAAGGTTTAGTTTTACTTTTGGTATTTTTTAGGAAATCACTCACAAATTTATGACCACCATTTTGCATCCTCGCCATGGCAAAATGCTTTCTGAATTCCCTTTTGTTTATTTCTGTGTAAATGTAAATGTATGGCTGTACCAGCCAGACATGAGACAACCTGGTAGCTTTGCTGTTTCTCTGTTTGAAGCGTGCTGGGATTAGACAGTACTGGAAAAGGGGCGAGCTTACCTGTATTTGTCAGGTATTTTAATTACCCATCACCCACTAGGAGTGACCTGTATTTGTACGTCTGTCAGGTATTTTAATTACGACTATCACCCATAAGAGCGAGCTGACCTGTATTTGTGCATCTGTCAGGTATTTTAATTACGACCATCACCCAGAAGGGCGAGCTGACCTCGTGGCCGGAGCTGCTGCCGCAGCTGTGCAATCTGCTCGACTCAGAAGACTACAATGTGTGCGAGGTGCGCGGCTGGCCTAATGGGCGGATTGATAAGTTTTTGACTGTATTGTAGCCTGTTGAAATACAGTGCGATAACAGTTTTTTTTTGTATTTATAATAATTCATAATTATTCTTCATTGTGGACACGAAATAGTTTTTGTCAACATTTGCATGTCGAGAGAAGCCGCCCATTGCATAAAGAAGTTTGCACCTTTTTTTCTCAGAGTCTCCTTGAACATATTCGCCGATAACACAGCCTATTCTGTATCTTTTCACAGGGCGCTTTCGGAGCTCTGCAGAAAATCTGCGAGGACTCGACCGAGATGTTGGACAGCGAGGCCCTCCCGGACCGACCGCTCAACATTCTCATTCCGAAGTTCCTGCAGTTTGTGCGCCACACCAGCCCAAAAATCCGGTGGGTGCCGAGTCTCGCTGACTCGGCGCGATTCGGGAACTTCCCTTGCGAGTTCCGGGATGTCTTAGCAGATTGTCTATCGGTATTCTTTGTTGTTGCGACTGACTGTTAACTGTCGCGGGGTCGCCGGGACGAGGCCGAACTCCGGCCGTCGAGTTTGCACCCATGAAGTGGTACGGGGAGTTTCCTGGTGCGGTCGAGTGCATGAAGCGCCCGTGTTTGGCGGCCGCGTGGGGTGCGCAGCGGGCTCTATCTTGCACGTCAATCGGAGTATCCCCCACTCAGCCGGGGCCATCAGTGGGTTTCGAGTGGGATGCACGGCCCAGCGCACCCGACCCCCGCCCGGCGCCCCGTGATCTGATACCGTTCATAGCAGGCTGAAGTGACGAATCGCGCTGATCGGGTGCACATGCCGTCCTCTGCCCCTCCCCCTCCCCCCGGAACTCATGGTCCCCCCTCCCATGCCTCTGTCGCACTGACAAACAGGCTTCGCCTGCGTGCTATGCGGGATTTTTACTAAAACCACCGCAGATATCCCCGGACGTGCTGAGTGGCTCGTTTTTTCCTAGTTCATCACCTATGCTCATTGCTCATGCATCCGTGCATTGCATGCTCTAGCCAATTTCCTCCCGGAACATTATTATCAATGAATTCATCCGCATGCAAAACTTTTTGTTGCAAAACACAAGAAAAGACGCAAAATATATATCTTCGATGGCAGAGAACTAGAATAAAACACGACATTTATTTATTTTGTGTGACTTCTTCGATTTTTCGTATGCCACGTCAAAGTCACGCCTCAATACACAGCCGGGTGCGGCTCAAACTTCTTCCAAACAACCACTGAACCGTCCACTCCGTCCTCTCACATCACTCCACCGCCTTTTTTTTACCCACTCCGGCGTCTCCCTCAGATCGCACGCGATCGCCTGCGTGAACCCGTTCATCATCAACCGGACTCAGGCGCTGATGGTGAACATTGACACCTTTGTGGAGAACCTGTTCCACCTGGCCACTGATGAGGACGCCGAGGTGCGCAAGAACGTCTGCCGCGCGCTGGTCATGCTGGTCGAGGTGCGCATGGACCGGCTCATCCCGCACATGAACAACATCATCGAGGTGAGATGACGTGGAACTGTGGGGGTGAGGTGTTGTTGACCGGGACGGGTCCTTGGCGTGGCTTACCGTTATGAACGGTAAAGGCTGGAGTCTGGTTAGAGCTTGGAATGTCAATCAAGTGTGATTGGTTTGTATTTGCAAAACCTAAACTGGTTTTTAAGGTGATTCAGCTCGATATCATTCTCGCAAATGAATACTTTGAACAGAATCTTAAATTATTACATGCGTGATTTTGACACAACCCAGCGACCCCAAAGATTGGATCGTCTCCACTTTATTTCCCTGTTTTCTCCTTATACTCTCCTCCCCCACCCACCGAGTACTGACCCCTCTCCTCTCCCCATTGTGCCTCCAGTACATGCTGCTGCGGACCCAGGATCCGGACGACACCGTGGCCATCGAGGCCTGTGAGTTCTGGCTCTCGCTGGCCGAAGAGCCCGTCTGCAAGGAGGCGCTCTCGCCCCACCTGAACCGTCTCATACCGGTGCTGGTCCGCGGCATGAAGTACTCCGACTTTGACATCATGTTGCTCAAGGTACAGAACAACGAACCGACGATGAGTGTTATCACTGCTAAGTGACGTTCGTTGTCTACATGGGAAATGTTTTGTGTTGATTTTGGGTACAGGTCTCGTGTCAATTTTATGTAAAGTTGAGAGCGTTTCCCAAAGTTGAGACTTGAGAAACACCTTGGAATCAAAGAAGACTTCAGGAGAATGTGGAGCTTGATCGAAATTTCCAACGAAATACCCCGCCGTGGGTGGGAATTATTAGTGGCGGACTAATCGACGCCGAATAGTCGGTATTCTATCCACCCGGTGCTTACTAACTTCCTTCCCCGTCACAGGGCGATGTGGAGGAGGACTCGATGGTCCCTGACCGGGACGAGGACATCCGGCCGCGCTTCCATCGGTCGCGCACCCACCAGCTGGAGCACGAGAGTAACGGCGGCGCCGGCGGCGAGGGGGCCAGCGGACTCGATGAGGATGAGGACGGTGATGGCTTCGACGAGGAAGGATCGCTTTCTGACTGGAATCTCCGTGAGTTCGACAGGATTAGGAGGGGTGGGGGGGGGGTGAAGGATTAGATAGGGGCTGATAGGCTGAGAGATGGGATGATGTTGACTTGTCAGCATGAAGTGGGGGGTGAAGTGGTTAGGAATAATGGTGTGCTTTGTTGAGGTTATGACCGATGTGTTTAGTCTCTGACGTTTTTTATTTTTCTTTTTTTACCGAAATATATTTTGAGCGCGACTCCACAGCCAAATTGCATCTGAATTATGTGCATTATTCACTATTTAGGCCTTTCTTGTGTGTCTATTCCCTGTATTCAAACTTTACGCCATTTCTTGGTTGGGCTTCGTGTCAGGATTACGTTAGGCTTTCCGTTCACCCTCGTCTTCCCCACGTCCTCAGGGAAGTGCAGCGCGGCGGCTCTGGACGTGCTGGCGAACGTGTTCCACGGCGAGCTGCTGCCCGTGCTGCTGCCCATCCTGAAGGAGACGCTCTTCCACCAGGAGTGGGTCGTCAAGGAGTCGGGTATTCTGGCGCTCGGCGCCATCGCAGAGGGTGAGTTATAGATTTAACACCGTGACGAGCCACTCGTACCTGTGGTGAGAGGTGCAAAATCGACCGGCTGTTACATAACGGGGCTGTGGACAGCTTTATCGTATTGTTTTATCGTAATGCTCGTCGCTCGCCACAAGTGTTCCCCGCCCGGGTTGGTTGAACCCGAGCCGGTAACCAATTCAGTGACGCAACCCGGCCGTTCCGACACCGGCAGTTGCGAAATCAGCCGTTCCGGTCTTCCGATTTGACATTCCGTAAACAGGGGATGCCGCCCGGACGGGTTTCCGCTCGGCGCTGACACCTGGGTGGTCCTGAGCCGACCCGCCCACCTCACCGTGTTGCCAACCGCGCCCCGAAGTCTCCTACGCCTTTGCCCTGCAATCTAAGCCTCGAGCGCCGCCATTCGTGCTGTTACCCCATTGGTGCACAGAGTCATTTTCCCTTCATCCTTCCTACGATGCCACCCGCACTCCGAGCGTCCCTCTCTACATTGCTGCCGTTGCACTTATTTCTATCCTCCCTCCCCGGGGCTGTTATCCAAGGCCCTGGAGCGTCCCTCTGCACTGCTACCTGTGCACGATGACCGATCTCTTCCCCGCCCTCCCCTACAGGCTGTATGGGCGGCATGATCCCCCATCTGCCGGAGATTGTGCCCTACCTCATCAACTCGCTGTCAGACAAGAAAGCGCTGGTGCGGTCCATCACGTGCTGGACTCTGAGTCGGTACTCGCACTGGGTGGTACAGCAGCCGCATGAACAGTACTTGAAGCCACTCATGGGAGAGGTGAGACTCTGGGCTAACAGTGTGGGCGGCTGTGGACAGGATAGGGAATGACAGGACAGCCTGGAGGACCGTGTGGCGGTCGCAAGTAGTGCTGTATGACGCTGCACCATTATCAGCTAATGCTTATCAGAGTCTGACAGAAAAATTGTGTGAACATCGTTAACTGATCCTTCCAAGTTGAATGATGAAAATTGTCTGTTCAAACGACAAAGGATCTATGGTAAACGCTGCTAGGTCTATTCTACGCTACTCTACCGCACAGGTACCTAACCTACATACATTCCCTGTTTCCTTCCCCAGTTACTGAAGCGCATTCTGGACCCGAACAAGAAGGTGCAGGAGGCAGCGTGCAGTGCGTTCGCCACACTCGAGGAGGAGGCCTGCACAGAGTTGGTGCCCTATCTGGGCTTCATCCTGCAAACCCTGGTCTACGCCTTTAGCAAGTACCAGGCCAAGAACCTGCTGATTCTCTACGACGCCATCGGGACGCTGGCCGACTCTGTGGGCGTCCACCTCAACAAGCAGGAGTACATCGACCTGCTGATGCCGCCGCTGATCGTCAAGTGGAACGTGCTCAAGGACGAGGACAAGGACCTGTTTCCGCTGCTCGAGTGTCTGTCGAGCGTGGCGACGGCTCTGCAGAGCGGCTTCCTGCCGTATGCTGAGCCGGTGTTCCGGCGCTGTGTGTCTCTGGTGGAGCAGACCATTAACCACACCGTGGTGAGTGGATAGGAGAATGAAGGACGAAGGGCTGATGACTGGGAGACTGAGAGCTCTCTAGGCATGTCATGTGTCTAGTGTTACTGCTCGAGGCATCTTGGTTTATTTATTTCGCACTTCATCCGATTAATCGGTCGTATCTTCGATGATAATGATAAACAGATAGCGATTTATCGTTCCGATACCGCGGCCTTCAGTGATATACCCCCGAGGTGGCTCATGTTTTGATAAGGCATCACTCTGAACGAAAACTGACAGGCTGCATAGTGCATACCCCCCTCCCCCCGCATTAGAGCCGACAGCTGCGGTATCCCTCCCGCCCCTCTGACACCCATCCCCTCGTCCACCCTCAGGCGAACCAGCAGAACCCCCAGCAGGTGGACGCTCCCGACAAGGACTTTATGATAGTGGCGCTAGACCTGCTGTCGGGCCTGGCCGAGGGCCTGGGCGCCCACATTGAGCCGCTCATCAAGTCCTCCAACCTGATGCAGCTGCTGTTCCAGTCGATGCAGGACTTCATGCCGGAGGTGCGCCAGAGCAGCTTTGCTCTGCTCGGCGATCTCACCAAGGCCTGCTTCCAGCACGTGGCGCCCAACATCTGTGAGTGAAATGGGCTCCCGGAGAGCGGTGGGAGCCCAGAAGTAATTTCGGTTCTATCTCGGGGATATTTGTACGATAATTCTACTCGACTTCTAACACTAGCATATGAATATCTGGTAACTTGAGTACTGCTGATTTCACAGAAAATTATGTATAGTTCAAAGATTTAGGGCATAAACAGACACTGTTGCGATGTCACATGTGGCCTATATCGCCAGCCACAAGTGTCAGTGTTATAAACTGCCGCCTTAGCTGACTGGTACTGACACTGTGCTTTGTTCTCTCCTCTTACAGCGGACTTCCTGACGAGCCTGGCGCAGAACCTGAACCCCGAGCTGATCTCCGTGTGCAATAACGCCACCTGGGCCATCGGAGAAATCGCCGTCAAAATGGGTACGTACCGCCACCGTCCGGCCGCTTGTGGGCCGGAGGTCGTCAGGTTGCGCTTGAGGTTTTGTTGGTGCACTAAGGTTTTACTAGAACACAAGCTCATCCTTGACGTGGTTATACTGTATTGGGTCCCATGAGATGCTAACTGAAGAACATGTAAGGATATGGGGATTATGGATTGACGTGTTTTGGTAAATTATTCTTACCATTGTGTTTTTCTTTGCGGGAGACGATCATGCAGTACCTGTTCACGATACACCTGACGTGTCTCTGGGCGTCTGAATTTACCACCTTTCTGTATGTGCCACAGGTCAGGAGATGCAGACGTACGTTCCGATGGTGCTGCCTCAGCTGATCCTCATCATCAACCGGCCCAACACGCCCAAAACGCTGCTCGAAAACACCGGTGAGTGAGCACGCTGCCCCAGTTGTCTAATGTATGCACCAGGCAGGTAATGAATGGAGGAGTAACCGATAGGACGTGATGGCAGCTGAATGTTTTATTGATTTTTATTGAATTCAGGTATGTGTATGAGTGAAAGTTTATTATAACCACCTGTCGAGCAGCTGGTGTTAGCAGTGGCCAGTGTCGGCCTGGTGAAAGTGATCCTTGATCGTTTGCACCAGTGCTGTCTTCTTCAGTGTGTAATTCTATAACATAACCTTTTCTAACGGTTGAGGATCCATATTCCAATTGTACAGTTAACTACGTAATCTTATCATCATCAACAAAAGAGCTCTTTGAAGGAAGAAGTGGCATCCTCCTTGAATGGGATTACTTTTTACTTATCCTGACTTCCAAAATATGGCTGATGAGTGAAAACACTCTGTGTGCCAGCGCGTTGGTCTGCCGTCATTTTTACTGATTTTGCTTGTAGTGTATTGAATATGGCTTTGTCGACCAGTCGCCCTATGTTGCCGCCCTGATTTGTTGTCTCGACCGCGGCTGTTTTGTCAAAGGCGCCGCGACAACTGCCGTATGAGCTGTAGTGAATGATTGGTGCGTTTTCTTTCTTTTCCGGTCGGTCGTAGCGATCACTATCGGTCGGCTGGGGCTTGTCTGTCCGAAGGAGGTGGCGCCCCACTTGCAGCACTTCATTCGTCAGTGGTGCGTGCCAGGGACCGGACGGTCCGCTCGTCTTTGCGCTCCTTGCGCGCACGTCTTATCTTCATTTAAAGGATTTGGTAGTGCTATTGCCTAATGCGGGTCGATCTAAGTTGCTTTCAGTCAGCAGTTTTGCGTTTTTGGTCAGGTTTGCTAGTCGAGTGCCTTGTCATATTTTTGCAATGAAGTGCATCATTTTGCTAATAGTGTTGTCCATTAATTTATTGAACTTATTTGCAGACGTGTTCAGAGTAGTAGCTTTATCTGTAAATACCTATGACCATATAGGTCATTTACGCAGTCTATAAAAGGAAGCATAAAGCTTGTCAGTAAGATGGATTGGCCATTAGACAATGGACTGTGGGTGTGGCAACGCTCTTTGATATTTTTAATTAATACGTCATCTGCATTTCACTGTTGTGCACTATCTGACGTGCCGCGCTGGCGGCGGCAGGTGCACCTCGCTGCGTAACATCCGCGACAACGAGGAGAAGGACTCGGCGTTCCGCGGCGTGTGCCACATGATCACGCTGAACCCGAGCGGCGTCATCACCGACTTCATCTTCTTCTGCGACGCCGTCGCCAGCTGGGTCAACCCCAAGCCAGACCTCAAGGAGATGTTCCACCGCGTGAGTGTTGACTGCAATTAGTTTGCTGGTGCTGAGAGCTAAGTTAGACACTCCTGTTTTGTTTTGTTTTTTATGTGGTTGAGCTTTGCAAATTTTGAGGGACTGCGGTATTATTCACATTTTACGTGTTTTTTATTGTCCTACTGTGTCACCGACCTGCTTTGACATTGTTTTCTGTGGAGGGAGATGAGTTCTTCAGATGACCACTGGTGTAATGCCGTCTGTCGTTCTAACTTCTACTCTGTTCCGTCCAGATCCTGCACGGCTTCAAAGACCAGGTGGGCGAGGAGAACTGGCGACGGTTCAGCGACCAGTTCCCGCCCATGCTGAAGGAGCGGCTGGCCGTCAACTACAACGTCTGAGACGTATGCCGTTAGGTGAGATACAACGGGAATGGCGGGGCTTTGGCTCAACTTACGGAGGGCAGTCATATGGTGGTGCTTGTTTGAGGGAGGACTATCATTCCGTTGGATCCTGTGGTTATTAGAATGCTGGAGACATCTTGTGGCAAAATATCGTTTTGAATTGTTTAGCGTACACTTTCTGAAATTGTGCTGGGTAGGTAGTCACTCTCGTGTAACACGGCCCCCTTTTTCCCGACAGGAACCCCAAACAATTGGCGGGCCGTCGCGCGGGAGGCGGGAAGCGGGCAGTGGGGGCGACATATCAGCTGACTGCGGGCGGGCGGGCGGGTGGGCGCGCTACGTTAAGACACCCACACACACCTATCGATAGGCGCCTCGCGTCCTCTCTGTCCTCGCCCGTGTTATCTAGTTAGGACTCTGTTGCGTGTTTTAGCCTGCTCTGACTCTGCGTGTGTGCGATACGTGTAGGCCAACCGTCCTTGCAACTAACTGCGCCGCGCTACTCGCATCGAGAGACGGAGAGAATCGAAGCAGATCGCTCGCGCCGCGACCGACCGGCACCGCGCGCGCGTGCGCCGCCACCACCGTAATGCTGAAGTGCCTTGGCTGTGATAGGTATTCAATTCATTGATCGCGGGCCAAATTGTACCATAGTCTGCACCGTTACGTTGTTCATTCTGCCGTGTCCATCGCCCGCGGTTGCGCGCGGCTGTCGGTGCCGTCAGCGCCTTCGTCACCGTCGTCGTCGTCGTCGCCGTCGTCGTTTCGTCGTGACATCTTGTGCCGTATTTTTGCTGTGCGCTGCCTCACGGCGCGCTAGGGTGCGCCGCGCGCGAGGGCGGGCGGGTGGGTCTGTGATAGGTCGTTTAACGAGCGCTCCGTGTTTTAACGTATTTCAGGGAAGCGTCGCTCATATGTATTTATGTTGATTGCGTGCATGAACGTCGTCTTTTTATTTGTCATTTTGTCGAGCTGTTAGGCGCGTTAACCAATGTTAGGACGGTGCGTGGTTGTCCGTCGTCGTTTCTCAACTCGCGCTGGCCGCGCGCCCGAACCGTGTCGCCTTATGTCCGACGGCTGGCCGTAGGGACCGCGGGTGGCTGCCGCGGGCACAGGTCCCTTCTCCGGCCTGCAACACTCAGACCCGCTCACACACGGACACGGACACATCGTGTCTGTTGTCAAACCGCCCTACTTGATACATGCCCCGCATTTTGTCGTACAGCTATGATATCAACGATGCACTCAACCGGTCCGAATTACCAGCTGCCTGTGCGCTGTGTACGCCGGCCGTCCCGCGCCGCCGCGCGTCGTCGTGCGTCTCGTTCGTCTCGCGCCGCGTCGCGCCGCTCTCGGCGGCCACACCTGCGGCCTGACTCGCTCCGCGCGTTACCGGACGACGCGCTCGCCTCATCTTACTAGTTCCTGTACAACCGCGTGCGCCTGGGTGCGGGCGCGTCAGTGTGCGTGTGTAGGCCTTGTGGCGACTGAGCCGCCTCTACTCGCCTTTCGTTGGCGTTGCATGCTTTCTCCATGTATCCAGTAATTACGTACACATAGACACTCGCTGTCAACGTATAAACGCAAAAGCGCGTAACGTGTGTACCCAAGTTGCTTGCAGGCTTCTATCGAAATTAATTGAAATAAGCACGGCTATAAGAACGTGAGCTCGCCATTTGGCCTATAATCTGTTACGCGCTTTTGTGTTTGTACCGCCTACAGACAGACACACACACTCGCAGTGAGACCGCGGGCCCGGCGCGGTCGCAGCCCGCCCGCTGCGGCGGTGTCTGTGACCGTGTGCCCGGGCCCGCGCCGTCTCCGGCGGTCCCGGGAGGTCTGTGATAGGAGCGGCCGCGCCGCGCCGCGCCTCATGTGATTTTACGCTTAGGAGTGTGTGGACGCGTGACTTACTCTTTCGCCCCGCGCCGGCTGGTGTCCGAATCGCCAGCCGGCCTGGTGGCTGGCCGGGGTATTTTTAGGCAAATTTTGAGGTCAGGTGTCGCCAAATGGGTCCCCCGGGAGGGAGGGGGTGCGAGGGTCCCCACAGGAACAGCAGCGGGTGGGGGGAGGGGTAGCTGATAAGCATACAATAAGGCTTGACGTTCTCTGTTGTAAGTCTCCTTGGCTTAAAATTCTCCGTTAGCCGGTGTCCAGCTTCGGGATTGTCCAGAACGGTCGGTTATTAACTAGCAAATAAAGGGAGGCGTTTCACCATGTGTTACGGCTTTGATTTGCGCTGTGAAATAATACACCTGGTGGCTGCACCTTGCCGGTGAATCCGAATGTGTCTGTGAAGAAGATCTGGCGTTTCCGGGACTTTGGTGAGAGTAGTAACGCGGCGACTACAGCCTATAACACGAACACGGGTTATAAGTTACACACTTTTCATTTTCGGCCATGATCCTTATCATGGTCGAAAGTGAAAGGTTTTGGTGGCCAGCGGCAGACGTAACGCCGCAAAGCAGCGCTGGGCGGCGATAGCCAGTCAAGACACAAACACAATCGCAGGGAAGCAATCTTGAAACAGGCCTCTTCGGCGAAGCCCTCGCAAGTCGTAATGACGTCTTGCACGTGGCCACCGCTTTGGTTAAGGTGTCTGGACCTGATGAATTCACCAGGGCCTAGTTTCATAAAGCATGTCCGTAACGGTAACTTGAACTGCAAGCGCATGTGAAGCGATGACGACAGTTTGAATCGTTGAATTTATTTATCTTGCAAGCAAGAACAGAAGGGAGAAGGGGAAATAAATTTATCGCTTCACATGCGCTTGCAATACAAGCCCAAAAACCGGCGTAAGTTACGGACTCGCTTTATGAAAGGAGGCCCAGGTCTAACCACCCTCTCGTCTTCTCGCTGTTTGATCGCTGTGAAACTGTGTACGTGCATGTCATTCTGGCTTCTCCGTCAAATTCATGTTGTGAAACAAGTTTGCTTTTGTCTAGGAAAAAAATCGTCCCATTATCAATCAGTGGCGTTTACATTGTGAAAGGGGTCCTTCAGTCTTCTACCCATTTTACCACCCCGTTTGGTCCAACTTTGGCTCCAAATCAGGTCCGTTGACATTGAGTTAGTCGTGTTTTCCTACCCTGTTACGCTCATTCGCTAACTAGATTTTGGATCGCACGCCCCGACTAACCGCTCCTGTTACTCCCCCCCCCCACCCCACCCCCACCCCGATCGGCGTAGTACAATATTGGATCGGTGTTCACTGTTCAACCACTGGCGATTGGCGAATTCAGAATGGGCCCATCAGGATGGTCCTTCTGTAGAACTCGTTTTTGACATGCAGTGTTAAAAAAGCTCTCGGTACGTCCTTTTGGGCAGCTCGCAAAAAGCATTCTGCAAGAACAAGTCGGCTTCACTGTTGAAAGCTTAGCTTATTTCTTGTTCAGGTTTAGGTATACCTACGATGAAGTTTTATTCCTTAGGTAAGGTAGGTATTTATTTCCACGAGACTGAGCCATTCGCGGTTCGCCCAAGAGCGTTCTAGGCTCTAGTAGGTACCTAGAAGTAGGGACACCAGAAAATAATTTGCAACACTTTAAAGGACAAAGGACTTCATTGTTTAATTCGCCAGCAAATAGTTTGATGAAATCACCTAATCACCATCATTTTGATGATGGGGATTACCTCTCGCCCGGCCGTCCTCCGTCCCGTTCACCGCTCGGCGGAGGAGATGGTAGACTGTCCCGCAATACACAGCTGCCGCGCGGCACAGTATGACGCTCGATTCAGACAGAATGGGGTCTGGCAGCGCGACGGCGCTTGGGAAAAGGACCGCGCCCTAAACTGAACAAACAGGCTCCAACCAGGGCCTCGGCTAACATGTTACCTACTGGGGTAAATGCCCCTGTAGAGTCAAGGAATGCTCCAGTAGTGGTCAGGTTTTGCCCAACCTCCACAAAATGAAAATATCTCAATATTAACGTAGGTACATTCCTTCACTCGGGAGCAGTTGAAGACGTTTGTGGCAAGAAATCAGGGGCGGAGGAAGAGGGGGTGCATGGTGTGCAGCTGCACCCTCAATTTTCATAAGAAAACATAGGCGTGCATTGGCAAACATATTTTTTTGCATTCCCATAATCCATAAGCTTCGTTCGAAGGAGCGTCAAAAATAATGAGGAAATTACTTCGGCGACTTTTTTGTTCAGGTCAAAGTTCATGTCATGGAGGTCATTGAAGACCAAATTTCGCCGATTTTCAGGTCGAATATCGACAATTTGCAAGATGCCGGATCACAACTCGGGAACCAACAGAGCTACAGCGCCGCGGAAAAGCGCATTTGATAGTCATATTGTAAGTGTTCTTTCTGAGTATTTCTCTCAAATTTGACTAACGTCAACGGTTTTGCCTGCAGGGGGCAACAATTTCCAAAACAGACGATTTTTCGGGAACAGCTTTTCCTGCAATAACTTTTGACTCAAGCCTTGCACGAGCCGCTTTTACCGACATCGTGTTCCTCTCGTCAAGACGCATCGAATAAACTATAATTTTACATGAAAAGTCAACTTGAAAATTTGACCTCAGGTGAAGGTCATGATGTAACCAGAAATTGCCATGTTGCATATCAGTGGACCCGTATCGTCGAGCAGAACACATTAGGCGTTTTCATCGCTCTAGCATGCCTCTTTCAAAAGTTAGTCGCGAAAAACTGTTAGATACCATTCGTAACCTGAGATGACCTCAGGGGTATAAACAAGGGTCACGCCGTCACGGGTGCCATTTTCATGTCCAGTAAGTCAAACCTACTTGTAATTCAGTGTTTGAGAGTGTTTAGAATGACTTTAAGCGATCGGTCACTCGGTGTAGCTATGGCATACACCGAAACATTTTATGAGGTGAGGTCACTTGTAGTGACCTGGCCTTGAATGACCTTGGCTTAAAATTTTTACAACATAGGTATGTAGAATTGGTTGATGATAATTGATAAGACTTGTAGTGACCTGGCCTTGAATGACCTTGGTCTGAAATTTTTACAACATGTGTAGAATTGGTTGATGATAAGGTGTGCCGACGGCGGCGGCACACCTTATCATCAACCAATTCTACGGCGGCGCTCCACGCCGCCGTTTTTGAGATATCCGCGAAAAACAGCAATGAGAGGAAGGCCCAGTAGTCAAAATTCCTTAGCCGAGGCCCTGGCTCCAACAGTTGAAAGAGCGTTCTTGTTTGCAAAGCAATTACATTACAAAAGTGAATGAATTCAGCTTCTCGTTTACCTTAACCCTCGCCGGCCGAGGGGGGGGGGCGGGTGCCGCCCCCCCCCCATAGGGTTTTTTCGCGATAGCTCCGAACACGCTGGCGATAGAGAGCTGAAACTTGGCATACCTGACCTTTGATCCAAGCCGCATCTTTTGACACCAACCGCATTTTTGGGTCAGGTCAGGTCACTGACCTATGACGTCATAAGTGAACCTCTGCACGGTCTTCAGATGTCGCAACTTCGCAACGCCCTCACTGCCAGAGGAGATGTCACAGGGAAATGAAACTTGCAGGATCTAGTATCCATTATGAGTCTCACAACTTGTATATCTCGGATTTTTCCTAAAGGTCATATGAGGTCAGGTCATTTTCGTGACCTCACCATTATAAGTCAATGGGGAAAAATGAAAACTGCTATTCTGGCGCCGGGAACGATCTCCAACTATCTCAAGCACACAGAATCGTGATTTGATGCATTCCTTGCAAGGTTGGGTGCGTCACTTTTGCAATGTTGACCTTCCGTGACGTCATTTATGACGTCATCAAGGTCATATTAGTTTTTCGTCAATAACTCCCGATCAAATTGAGCTAGTGAGTCGAGAAAGCCACCAATGGACTCAGGAAGACCTGCCGAATCGAATGATATGCGACATGACCTCTTTCGACCAACTTCGTGACCTGGGGGTGCTGACCTGACCTTGACCTGAGGTCAACACCCTAAGTTGACCTGACCCGAACAAAAAGTATATCATTCGACGCGCCTGAGCGAGGCGAACACGATGCTGCCAAAATCGCGGCTCTGCGGCTGTTTTTTGCGAAGTTATTCACCAAAAACTGAACCGTACCCTGGGGCACTTGACCTGACCTCAGAGGTCACCGGTTGACCTAGGACCTTAAAATCGGGTACCAATCTCTGCGTCTCGTAACGGCGCACACGCTCGTTTTTTCCGCGACGCGCTAGCTCCACCAGGGGCGAAACGGCGAGGGGGGGTCGTACCCGCCCCCCCCCCCTCGGCCGGCGCGTATGTAGAAAACCAATAGGTCCGGCGAGGGTTAAGGTATTGGCCTAGACAGCGGTGGCAGATCGGCCGAGATACATCTGGTCAGTGGATGTCAGTAGATGTGGTCAGTGGTTCGGATGAACGGCATGTGGCGTATCTCCTGCCTTCCCGTTTGTGACATCAACGTAGATATTTTCGGAAGTTTGATGGGAGAACATTTATTGGCATTGTGTTCTCTATGGGTGTCGTCAGTAAAAAAAGCAACGCTCAACCACTCACCATTATCATAGCGTGGTACAGCGTGGTACGTCTCGAGCCCCGCACATTGCATCTGAATTGACCCTGTTAAAATCAAAGACACATGATATCAATCATCTTCTATTGCTTGGTAGATCAGTAACCACTAACCCTCTCCCCATTTCCCCACATCTCCCCATCTCTTCTCGACCCAGCCGATCGGCTCGTAGCATCTGTCGGCAACCGAGCGGCAGCGTCATTGAGGTCCCCTCGCCGCCGATTGGATTGCCGGCAAGCGCGGCCGATGTGAGTCCGCTGCGATGGCCGAGACGGTCTCTCTTTATGGTCCACGTCGGGCGGTGCTCGTTCCAAGTTGGCCGTCCGAACATCGAGTAAATCGCTGCAGCCATAACTGTCATTAAGTGAACAATGATTATCTCAATTTGCTATCACAGAATTGCTCCAGATATAATGCTTCGCTCGCTCTCAGTCGGCCACTGCCTCTTACTTGATGGACCCGGCCGACATGGAAGGGCTGCCGCGGGACCTACCTTGGTCTCCGATCGCCATAACCGTTGAACTTTATTCGGTGGCTCTAATCACTTACCGAGCGTTTTACGGGAGGCGACACAGTGGCGACGGAGCAGCAAGATGGCGTCAGTCGACCAAATCGGAGACCGTCTCAGAAATCGGCCGCGAAACTTCCAAACCACCCCTAAAGCCGCCCTAAGGACGCCAGTATATAACCACTTTACCACTTCCGAAGTACCCGGCGTGCCAGCCGAATCTCGCCCCAAAATACTCGCCAGAAATATGCCTCTCTTTGGCGGCGCACACTGGGCCGGGGGCCCGGAAAAGTGCTAGAAATTATTTGTGATTGAGTTGTTGATCTCAGTGACAAGCAAACATGCTAAAAACGAAGTGGGGCTGCTTAACCCTCGCCGGACCTATTGTCGGACCCCCCACCCCCTCGGCCGGCCGAGGGGGGGAGGGTTGGTACGACCCCTTTTTGCCGTTTCGCCCCTAATGGAGCTAGAGCCTCGCGGAAAAAACAAGCGTGTGCGCCGTTTCAAGGCGGAACGATTGATACCCGATTTTAAGGTCCCAGGTCAACCGGTAACCTCTGAGGTGAAGTCAGAAAGCCCAAGGTAGGGTTTGGTTTTTGGCAAATAATTTCGCAAAAAAATGGCCGCAGAGCAGCGATTTTGGCACCATCGTGTTCGCCTGGCTCAGGCGCGTCGAATGGTATACTTTTTGTTCGGGTGAGGCCAACTTAAGGTACTGACCTCGAGTCAAGGTCAGTTCAGAGCCCATCAGGCCACGAACTTAATCGAAGGAGGTCGTATCGCATATCATTCGATTCGGGAGGTCTTCCCGAGTCCATTGGTGGCTTTCCCGAGTCGCTGGCTCAATTTGATCATGAGTTATTGACGAGAAACTCCTATGACCGGTGTGACGTCATAAATGACGTCACGGAAGGTCAAAAATGCAAAAGTAAAGCATCGGATCTTGCAAGGAGTGCACGAAATCACGATTCCGTGTGCTTGAGATAGTTTGAAATCATTCCATGCGCAAACACAACAGTTTCCTTATTTTCCCATTCACTTTTAATGGTGAGGTCACGTGACCTCGAAGAGTAGCAGGCATTAGCAAAAATTGCGAGTAGGGCATGACAGAAAAATGATTAATGGTTTGTATGTCATGGCCATTTTTAGCGGCTCGAAATAACATTTCTCAAAAAGTCTAACCAAAGAGCAAGTTGTTATTGATTATCACTGACTTGTGTTTAGGGGTTAATAATGACTGAATTTTTTAGTTTGGCCCAGAACTGTTGACAGCATTGTGTCTGTTGATCAATTCTGAGCTCAGGGACATATATTTTATTTAGATTATAAGCGTTTGTTTTTCACAACTTCCAGCGTTTTAAAGAGCGCCGGGCCTTCAGTAGAGCGGCGAGGTGACAATTGCCCCTACATCATGTGGTTTACTGGCACATGTCTCGAAAAGTAGCAGGGAAAAGCAGCAAAGCACCTATATGGAACAAAAGATGAGTGATCAGAGGCTAGTATAAAATGTTCATTTTTAGCCGCTCGAAATAACGTTTTTATAAAAGTCTAATTAAGAAATTGGATATGATTTTAAATTACGTCTTGCAGCTGCTTGCAAACAGCTAGCTTATCTTGCAGAAAAGCGATGCAATATGTCAGAATGATGTTGGCACAGTGAACAACAGTGCCCTGAACTAGTCTGACATGAAATTTCGTTCAAAACGACGATTGGTCAACTAATAAATTACCACTAAAGTTCATCATTAAAATCGGTAAATGTGGTGGCCTATAGAGAGTCTAAATTGTCTTGTGTTTGGTGACAACTGACGACCTCAATTTTGACCTTAGGGCAAAACTAGCATCGGAATCGTATTCTTCGATCAATTTGGAATTAAATGATACCTATTTTGTTCATATTGCGGGCAGTCAGTTTGGGGGAATTTCTAGCGCTTTTTCAGGCTGCCGGCCTACAGTGCGGCGGCGGCTGCGGAGAATGGCGGTCGGATATCGCCCTCGATGCCCGTACCGTCACGCCAACCTGATTACGGCCGCGCTGTCGTAGCGGCCGACATGCTGGGCGCGCCGCGAGCGTCGCTCTCAAGCGCCTCCCATCCATCTTGGGTTAATCGCAATCGTAATCGCCTTACCAAACCACTAAAAGCCTGGCGCGTTATCTATTCTGCGGCGCGCGCCGGCGGGGGTCCGACGGATGACTGATGACGCGTCGCGGCCCGCATGCCGGCTCCGGTCTTGCGCACCTCCCGCTCAGTGGTAATTTGGACAAATGAAGCGCTCGCCGCCGCCGCCGCCGGCCGGCCGCCGGTAGTCTGCCGCAGTCGCCGGCCTGCTACACGGTCAGAGCAGTGATATTGCCGGCAGTAGGGCCGCAACAGGGCGGAGAGACGACTGCCATTCATAACCGCAAGTGGTGTGTGCGGAACGATGTGGCCGTGCCAGGGGTGCGCCGGGTCACTGCGGGGTGCCGACGACGGGTGTAATGGGTGCCGGGGTGCGCTGGGTGACTATGGGGTGCAACCAGCCGGCTGCAGCTGGGTGTAATTGTTGTAGATTGTAAACGGACTAGTCATTAGTAGCTCCAATAACATGAACTCTTTATTTGTCTCTAATTTCTTCGATGTCACAAAGTGTATGGCTGCAGCGGATTGTGAAGGAAAGAGACGGGATGTGTGAGAGTCCCTGTCCCTGATAGCTCGACGCATCCTTTGTCGGTGACAAGTGACAATTGTCGAGAACCAAGCTGCTCGATGACTATATTCAACTCAACACTGCATGTTTTAAACGCCTTTGATATTGATAATAAATCTTATATCTACGTGTATAACTGATCTGATACTATTAATCTGAAACTTGAAAGTTAAGTAGATTTAATGTCAGTGTTCAAGTTACAGGGGTACAAAGTGGTGGTTGAGATCCCCTCGCGGTTGCTGCTTCGTCCCTTATTCAGCTAGAGCGTCGCAGAAAAAAAAACGAGTGCGTTGGTCGTCAAGAAACGCGATGAAAAGGGTCAAATTTGAAGACCTCAAGTTAACGGTCAACCTTTTGTTGGAGACCTTTGGTGTCTGGGCAACGGTCCACAAGTCTGATTGTATTTTGTTGAACAGCTTTGGCAAAGACAAACCGAGAGCATCTATACTTGAACCATGTTTGTCACATCCGACCGCGTCGAAATCCTTGGTTTTTGTATAAAGGTTTTCGACGGCTAAGGCGGGCTAAGTCAGAACTCAGAAAGTTAGCCTTAGGATGGTCGTGTTACGTAGAAGGGAATGTATCGTTTAATTTGCGGCTTCTTTTGAGCCATGCTATCCATCGTGACTCGCTCAATTCGATGGAACAATTATTGACGTGAACTTCGATCACCTCAAATAACCGTTATCACGCAAGGGACAAAATTCAAATGTTATCCATGGGGCCATGAAAGAGGCAAGCTGTGAAACTATGATTTTAACGAAGGATTTTGCTCCTAATGAGGCTAAAGATTTAAGATCATGCTTTGTTTTGCAATGAATAAGGAGTTCCTGCATTTCCCCGTTCAACGTTTAGCTATCTTTAATGGGGAGGTCACGTGGCTGATCTGATTCGGAATAGTGATATGTGACCCTTGTGTATGTAACCATTGTGTATGTACTATGTTTTAGTGTGAAGGGACGAGTTACAACGCTTCGAAGATTGTATGCTATCTGATGGTTTCATCATCTTGCAGGAGATCCCATAGCACTAAGAGCGTTGCAAAGTGTGACATTTTTTTAACCATTTGCCTCTAAAACGAATAGCCAAGCCTAAAACGATTAGTTGCCGTTTCCATGAGATGAGTTCCATGAATTCCATGAATTCCAACAATTCAGAAATGGTGTGCACAAACATTATTTTTGTCAATTTTCAATTGAAATCACGTCTAATGTATCCAATGGGATTAATGTCTAAGCTCTTTTTATGGCAGCGAATGATACGAAAAACAAAAACCCTTTCAAATTTTGGCACGACATGTTGTTGCATTTCTGTCACAATTTCACATGTGGACTCTACATTACAAGGGACTCGGCTCAACACTGCAGATTTGATAATGCAGTCACTTGGAAATACGTCTCGTTTCTTAACGAGCTTTGCAAACTCCGACCCCGCCTGCATTACGGCGCTAATGCTTACCACTTGTTGTTCATCATCGCTTTCATCTGTCCCATTTGGCCCAAGTATTCAAATAATTACGGAGACAAACGACGGACCCTCGCAATGCAAGCGCAGCGACAAAGATAAACTAGGCGACCGCTTGTCATTACGTGGCTTAATTCGGCCGGCGCTGCCGCTAGGCCCCGCCCCCGGCCGCCGCCCATTGGTCGGTTGTGCTCGGAGCTCGTCAGTATAAAGCCCCGAGGCAGTATGTCGGCCGGTCGCGGCTGGCTGGGTGGCGACAGCTCAACGGAGGACGGAGCGGGGCGGGCGGCGGCACGGCGGGCTCAGACACCGGGCTAACGGAACTCTGCACTGTGAGCCATGGAACAGCTGACTGAGTTTGTGAGTAAATCGTTTGACCGCGCCGCGGCGGAGGAGGCGGCGACGCGAGAGGAGGTGACCCTCCTCCCTCCGCCGCCGGTGAAGGAGGAAAGTGAGGACGATGAGGACTGTGTGGAGGAGGAGGAGGACCAGCAGCAGCCTGTCGACATGAGGACGGCCGTGCTGCCCGATTCGTCCTCACCGACGCTCAAGTTAGATGAGACGGAAGGTACGACAGTTAAAATGATGATTTGACAATTATTTTGACACATTTGATTCATCTTGAACCAGAATTATTCATTTATGGAAAAGATGGCTATGATCACATTTAAGTAAAAGAGCAGTCCAATATCTTAGGAGCAGTTGACAACAATCCCTGAGAATTTGGTAAATAACAATTAAATGTATCTAATGCCCACTTTAAGAATGCATTAGAGGGCTTGATAGTTTGTTGCACCTACACCTTGTCCTTCCTGGAAGCCGTTCGAAGGCCTACTCTAAAAGAATTTCCAAGATGAGTTGCGCAAAAATAATTTCAACATGTATTCGTTTTAAATTGAATGTGTGAATACTGATCCCACTCGTAAACGCTGTTTGCTTGAAAATCTTGATCGATTAAAATTAAAGAGACAATGCAATTAGGTATTCAGCAATTTCAAGAATTATCGCTCTTGCTGGAAATATCGGTGCAAGACACATGAAACTCATAGCGATTAGCTACAGATTACAGATGGCAATGAGCAGACAGTCGTTCATTGTGCGGAATAACTTTCACATGAAGCTGGACTGGCTTGTGCCTTGTGGTGTCAACGAATAAGTGCAACTCATGCACCGTCAAGCCCGACGGATTTTGGTGAAAGATTCCCAAATCGTTATTATCTATTCATTCTAAGCAAGCTTCACAGCAATGAGCAATACCGTCCGTAGCTCAGTTGGTATATCGTAGGGGAGAGTGGGGTAAGATGCCCAGGGTGGGAAAGACGCCCCACCCCCTCTAGCGGGGAAACAAAGAATCGAACCTGGAAATTAATGGTCTTAGCGTAAAGCAGAAGCCTGCCTTGTTAACTGCACAAAAATTTGCAAAGCTCAGTTGGGCAACGGCTGGCTGGTGATTGCATGTTTTTTATTTGCTGCTTTCAAAAAATATTTTGGCGTCAAAACATTGTAAATATCAAAAAAGGTAGATAATTTTTGCGTCCCTTGCTATAGTCGTGATACATTAACATGCGTTTACTGTGTCCCAAACAGTTTGTTTCAGGGTGTAGTTTTATGACTAACAAATTGTGCTGATTTAATGTTACTTCGGTACCTTGGGGTAAGATGCCCCCTGACCTGATGGGGAAAGACGGACAGCCTAAATCCGTGAAGGACAGCCTAAATCCGTAGGCTGTCCTTCAAGCAGCCCGTCAAATCATGTATTACATACTTGTGATGAGAGACAAAAGCCGATCTGGGACTATTGAGAGTCCGGTACGGTCGGGTGCTTCCCATGCCGGTCTCTCGGCCCACGGGCGGCATCTGACTCTGAGAGCCCTCACGACGGCCTTTGTGGGCCCCATTATTGGTTCTATGGCCCCTCACGACATCCTTTGAGGGCTCCCACGTTGGCTCCACGGGCCGCGCTGGCATCTGAGGTCCCCACGATGGGCTCGAGGGCCCTCAAGCATCATGAAGCCTATAAGGGCCCCACAGTGGTCTCCGAACGCCACCACGGAGGCTTGTTTGGCCACGCTGGACTATGATGGCCCTAACGATGACCTCTGAAGCCCCTTACGACTACTTTTGAGGGCCCTTACGATGACGTTTGGTGTCTACTGCAGGCTCGAAGGGACTACTGATTCGTTCAGGCGATTCACGTGCCTATTTATGTCACTTTTAGTGCAGGGGGCATCTTACCCAGCGCCAGGGGGCGTCTTTTCCACCCTGTGGGGTAAGATGCCCCCTTTCACTTCTTCAGGAAAATGCTTGATAGCAAAAAAAGTTATCATATTTCAGGCACGGAAGTGTGATATTTTTGGAGAAAAATGATGTCGGCTTCCGTTGAAACTCCAAGTTTTGGCTTTCCGATCGTCATTTTCGAATAATATATGACATAGTCAAACCCTGGGCATCTTTCCCCACTCTCCCCTATAGCGTTCGACTCACAGTGTTCGCCCGGGTTCGAATCTGGCCGGCGCTCTATGTATGAATATGAGGCCCCTTTGAGGGTGGGTTTGTGGTTTATGGGCCCAGCCGCTGATCTTTGAAATCAGTTGAATGAAAAGGACTATGTCTGGCTTTGATGGTCTCGCACTTTGGCATTGAAATTCTCCTGCTAACCCGGAATTGCCTGAGCGGACGTCGACGATTGGGCTTCTGACCTGTGCATTGTGCAACAAGCTCTGCTTATAGCAGGTTCTGGCTCTTTCAAATCGATCATTTAAACATTTTAGCGAAATTTATGCAATTTAATGAGGAAGGAAGACTTACCTACAGATGCATATAGTCCTTTTATCTTGTCGCCTACGTTCTCTTGTGACACACTTGTTTTACTAGCATAACGCTATGGGCGCAAAATGACCTTGTAGTCGACGCTCTCTAAAGCTACAATAAACAAACAAGCAGAAAACACATATGTAGGTATGTATCAATCCATGTTATCTGAAAAGCGCCGTCGTCCGACAATCAGCCGCCGCCTCAGTCTGGACGGCTGGTGGTAGACAAACCCGCCTTACTCGCGTGTGCAGCGGCACAGTATACCACCGCAGGTAGCAGCCGCCGCGCCGGAGCGCCATTTGCGGTATGTGCCGGCTGGAGGGTTCTATAGTGATCCTAGCTAAGCCCGTGAGTCTCCGGACCATTTTTGAGCTGGAAAGACATGTTCTGGTTTTGATTTCACACTAAGTGTGTGCTCCATATGCAAAGATTGGATCATGCTTGTGAAATGTGTAATAAGCGCGCGTGATAAAAATGCTTGTGATGCGGACACTATTTAGGTTGGTATGCACTATAGGTACATATTGAAGTTGCATAAAAGACTGGTAACCACGTATTTTCTTCTGGATTTTCCATTTAAGCTTGTTTTTATATTAGATATTGCTGCAAACGTGCTGACTGAGAGGGATGGGTTGCCGGCACAACACCATCCGTCTATTTGTGTTCAAGGGATTTCATCGTTCTTAAATGAGGCTACGCAATCAGTTGGAACTGACGCATTGCCTGGAACTTGAACGAAAAAGCATGCTTAAAGTGAAAAAATGGCCGTTAACATAAAAAACATGGCGGCGACGCAATTATATTGTGGATGCATGAAAATGACCGACATAGCATGATTCAGCGTCAGATCATTAAAAAATTTTTGTCGGCACATAAGTTGATGATGATTTAGCGACGAAAGCTTAATTGCTTTCTTTCTAAGCCATTTAGTTACTACAAAATGTACCATGCACCCTACTGCACTACTGCAACATACACTGTTATGAACAACGCTTCTGCATATTGCTTTAATTTTATATGACGATATAAAATGTACAAATTAAATTACTTATGGTTCTGGCCTCCGGGTAATGTAGTTATGATTCTCTGTCATCCACCAGAACGATAAGTGGATTTTGGAGGGCCGATGGCCATTAAATAACTCTCATCTCCTCATAAAAACGAATCGTCAGATATAGACATCGGCCGTGTCATTAGCGATAGATCAACTTTCGGGAGCAATATTCGGAGACGGTTATCGACTGCCCGATTCCGGGAGGCTCGCTGAAGTTATGAACACTCCAGCTAGTCCAGCATCAGAACCAGTAGACAGACGGGACTGTCTGCCTTCCAAGCATCTGTTGTTCGTCATTGATGAGTCTAAACTGAACTGCCTGACATTGTCCTTTCTGTCAGTATCAGACAGTTCAGAGAGTTATTTTATCTCGTCACGTCCTGTCCCGTTCCGAGTTATTTTATCCCGGCCCGTATTGACCTATGTTCCTTTGAGCTGCACATCTGATCTCACTGTCGGTGTGTTGGCCTGTCCGCCCATCAATTAACCATTTATTATTCCATCCCTTCTGCCCTACCCGAGTCCCGAGCTTCCGTCTCCTCTGCTATTCCATTTATTCAGCCTGAACCCTCTGTCCCTTCTGATCACTTTGACCTGCCATGAGTGTCTACAGTCCGTCCTGTCTGTTCATCTGACCTGTGACTATTCTGATCTCCCCGCTGATACCCATTCGCGCGTCTGCTCTGTCGTTTACCCGTCTACTCTGTCCCACTTCACCAGCCTTACCCGTTCCTGATCCCGTCTCTCCGTTTTTAACCTGGGTCGTCCGCTCTCCCTTTTATCCCGTCCACCGTCCCATATGCCCAGTCTGACCCACAGTCTGACCCGTTCGCACTCCCATCTATCTAGTCTGACCTCCCTGACCTCCTATCTGTCCCATCTGACCTCTTGTCTGCCTTGTCTGTCCCGTCTGACCTGACCATCTCGTCTGCTGTCCCATCTATTCAGTCTGACCTTCCAGCTGACCTGTTTGTCCCATCTGACCTCCTGACCATCCCGTCCGCTGTTCCATCTATTCAGTCTGACCTCCCGTCTGACCTCCCCTCTGTTCTATCAGTCCCATCTGACCTTCTGACCATCCTGTCCGACGTCCCAGCTCTCCCTTGCCTGTCGTGCTGTGCTGTGCCGGTTTCCACTGCTCCCCGTGAACCTTCTCCCGACGGCACAAAGAGCTCTCCTCCCTCCGAGACGAACCGAGAGGGGCGCCGGGGCAGACCTCGCCTCCAACCTCCGCTCCCCCGGGCGACATTACTACATTACACCGATTGACCCAAACGCTGGATAAAAACGTGTAATCTCCGCTGGCTAGCACCGGCCGGCGCTCAGCGCAGACCCACCTGCCGCCGGCGCCGGCTGGTCTCCCCGGTGCGGCCGGCACGCCGCTGCGCTGCGCTGAGGGCCGGCCTTTGTACGACCATTTAGTTAATGTGATTAAATTAATTTGGGATTCACTCAACGTGTAGTTAATGCGATCAGGGCGATGGCAACAAATGCGTCCCCCGAGGCGTTTCGGACTAGTGGGGCGATTATATCGCTTTAATTGCGTGATCACCCGGGCGCACGACCATCTAACTGAGGCGGCCAGATAAAATCAATTGCCGGGCAGGGCTAATGGAGAGAAGTACGGACCCAAAGGGCGACCCGGACGCGGCACGAGTGGCCGGCTGGCGTACCAAGGAGATGGCACTAATGACGCCGGAACACATCGGGGAGGTGCTTTGGTCGCGCGGCGCCGCCGAGACCGGCGAATAAACCGAGATACCGGCGCAGATTTGATTTGGGTAATGGTGTTAAGTGGTGATAATTATCCAGACACAGCTACAACTAATGAAAATGGCTTCCTAATTCTCAGCCAAAATACAGAACATAGTGAAAATAAGACCTATGAACAGTTAAGCCGTTTTCTCATAATCATTCATGCTTTCTTACTGCTTAGATCGTATCAGTTGTTTCATTACTTTACTTTTTAGCATTTAAAGTAAAATTATGCCCCATGACTGAAAACGTTATTCGGCTAGCATGGCTGACAAATGGTTTCTGCGTCTGTTTTAATCAAATGCCTATCTCACGGATCAACATCATATATCCTGATTACAGCTGTTCCTAATTACCTATCTTGAATCCTGCAAGTTTTCAGCTACCTGCTTGTTATCATTGTTTCGATGCACCTAATCCTCACTCCTCGTATATTTCCTCCCATTGCCTCTATGTATGTATCTCGTCTCTCGAAAGGCCCAGCCTGTCTCGACACATTCCCCCACCTAACCCCACCTCCTCCTTCTCAGGGGCTCCCTGCAGTCGTCAGGAGGACAGCGACTCGGCCGCCGCTCCGGCCGACCCCTCCAACTCCAACTCCAGCTCCTCAAAGGTCAAACAGCGGCGCAGCAGGACTAACTTCACACTGGAGCAGCTCTCGGAGCTGGAGCGGCTCTTTGACGAGACCCACTACCCGGACGCCTTCATGAGGGAGGAGTTGAGCCAGCGCCTGGGGCTCAGCGAGGCCAGAGTTCAGGTCAGTTGAGAAGGGGTCATTGAGTTGGAAGTTCAGGGCAGTAAGAGTTCAGGTCAGTGAGGGGACGGGGGTCAACAGAACAATATTCCCGATAACATTTCTTTATGTATTTTGTTTTAGAATGAAACTCCGCTAAAATTTGAAAAGATTGGTCGAAATTTCTCGTTGACTTGCAAATGGTAGCACGACTTGTAGAAATAAACCTAAATATGAAAATTGAAACTTTAAGCAACGTTGCGTGCCATTAGCTTTAAATGCATAATTAGTAAGCTCAGGTGCAAAAAATCATTAGTGACTGATCATTATTGACCCCTGGTGATCCCGATACATCGCCAGCTATTATGTATTTATATCTAATATCAGCTGGATGGTAATGGTATTCAATCAATACTGACGGCCGTAACCTGACAGCCACTCCGTTCCCCGTCCCTTTACATATTCCCTGCTCTGTGCCGAAACATCGACGAGAGAGGAGAGATAAGACAGGGCATGAGAGAGAGAGAGAGAGAGAGAGAGAGAGAGAGAGAGAGAGAGAGAGAGAGAGAGAGAGAGAGAGAGAGAGAGAGAGAGAGAGAGAGAGAGAGAGAGAAGAGAGAGCCACCGCACGCAGCCTTCCTGTCCTTATGCGGGAGGACGAGGGATCTCCCGAGTGGGCCGGGTCGTTCCGGGTTCCGGCTCAGATTATCATTGGCGTGGGCTGCTCGGATAAATCGGCTAATATGACAGTAACGCCGGTAAGTAAGCAGCCGTCAGGGCCAATTGCCCGGAGGCGTTCCGAGGAATGGCTCCTTGGAGAGACGTCGGCCGGCCGGTGGACCCAAAACAGATAGCTCACTCGCCGGGCGCGAACTGAGATCTGCCCTCGCGCAGAGGTGGAGGTTGGCTCGGTGTCATCGGCACGAGATTGTGCCTGATAGTAGAGATCTGGGATTGCCGAGGCTCCGCGGGCATATGGAGAGGGTGGATGGGTACCTAACCTAACCCGATGCGTGGCTGCATAGTGCATGTACACGTTTTGTATACATTCTGGGCATTTGTCACTGTGCATGCATACGGACTTATGAATATATTCCAACATATACAGGGTGATTCATAGCTGTGTGACCGAAAATAAATTAAAACTACAGGAAATGCATTCGTGTTACATGCCATTGCCAAGTACCATATTAAACAGCCAAATCTGAAGTTTTGATCCATGTGTAGCATCAGTCAAAAATACTTTTCCTTCGACTCTCACACTTCTTTCAGACAAGATGTTCAAAAAAGCCACCTCGGCGACGGATGCACTCCAGCGCCAGAGCCTAAAGTTGGCGATGGCGCGGACGCACAACATTTGCAAAGAAATAGAACCAAAGCAGCTTCCAATGGCATCCTTCAGCCCCAGAATATCCTGGGGACTCTCCTCATAGACCTCGGACTTTGCATAGCCCCAGAGGAAGAATTCCACGACGGTGAGCTTCGGCGAGTGTGGCGCACACCTGACCTCAGCGCTCTTTGAAATCAACTTTCCGGGGTTCGCTTACCAATTGTTTTGTGCCGTGTTTATGATTGAACCGTGCCCTCTGCTTTGAATTGATTAACGATTCTATGAATTGTTATCTTCTTTGGAGTTTCTCTTGGGTGTAAGCCCTCAGACGTGCAGAAACATCTTTGTGTTTGCTTGACGGACTGCGTTAACCTATAGAAATTACACATTTTTACTTTTTGCTGCGCTGTGTACATCTTGAGCGATACACACAGACCAGACCAAGATAGAAAAAAAACTTCATAAAATTTTCTACTAGCACGTGAAATTTCACGCGGAAATATGCAATCCTCTTCTCAAGAGAGATCAGCTAAATAGGTCACATGGCTATGAATCACCCTGTAGGTGGCGGAACGGGGAGGGCACCGGGGCACCGTGCCCCCCTTTGATTTTGACATCTTAACATTAGCCCTATGGGCGTTGCATGGAAAGAATTGGACAACAAGTCGGTAGTGCCCCCCTTAATTGAAGGTGCTCCGCCGCTACTGTATTCCAATTATAAACAGCTAAATCAACTATTACTGTTCGCGCATTACCTCCCAAAAATTACGGCAATGAAAAAGATGAGGTAATGAATTGCCTTTGTTGAAAACGTCTCTGACTTGTACCTAATTTCTTTCAGGTCTGGTTCCAAAACCGCAGAGCGAAATGCAGAAAACATGAAAGTCAGATACACAAAGGTAAGTTAAAAGCTTAGCGGCCTAAATCTCGGTGACACTGCACAGAATTAAACTGGCAACACGCACACATCCGCTTAGCAAATAGAACGCAACTCATCTGCATTCTTCCCTATACTGGCTCAAGCTCACGAGTATTTAGCAAGTTGATGTCCATCTCGCTTTACCCTCATTGCTGAGTAGTTCGTTACTCCGCTCACCCACAGCTCTGGTCCGATATAGCCTCGTTGAGCGCTCCGTGACTCCGTCTGCTATCGGCACGGCGGCGCGCCGTTTGACACTCGGCCGCCCCGATCCCGCGTATGACGGTCCGCCTCCTGCGGTGTGTTTACCCCATTTAGATAATCCAATCTGCCCGAATCCCGCGGAGCCGGCGCCGCAGATTTGTGTGTAACCAGCTCAGTCTAACGAGTTTATGCATACCTCCCTTTATTGCCTAGGGATCTTAATCCAATAGAGCGCCGCCGTCCATTCAATAAAAAGCGGCCAAATGGATGATCAGTTGATTTGCCCTTTGAAAGCGGCTTGACACGCGCTGCGTTCGAATCGGCCAATTGAATTGGCCGCGCCGGGCAATCGGGAATCGCCGCGGGGCGCGAGAGAAATGATAATGAATCTGCGCCGCTCCGGTCGCGGACGTTTTATGGGATGGTGACACTCAGAGATGGTGCGTCGCCTGGGAACGCTAAAACCACTTCGGGGAAACGATTTGGAAGGTTGCTCTGAAACAAGTGTGCAAATCCCGTTGTGATTTAATTTTGTGCGACTTTTGATCAGAGAAAGATACCGTAATATTTGATGCAGGGTTGTTTCTGCCTTTTTTAGGTCGATGTAAAGTTTTGATTTTAATTACAGTTAAATCAGGTAGTTTTATATGTTGTAAGCAATGAAGATAACATTTCCATTAAATTTCCTCAAATATCGCTATGAAAATGAAGGTTGTTCTCATGTCCTGTCTTCTATCCGACTGACTGGGAAGGTGACGTCCCTCGATGTTCCTCAGTACCACCGACAGATCATTTAACACCCCGCAGTCCTCAACCGACGCCCTCAATCTGACGCCCCTCTGCACCCGTCCTTCCGCAGCCGGTATGCTTCTTGGTCCGACGGTCTCTGCCGCCGGCGTGTCGGGCCCGTCGGGGGCGGCGGTGCGGCCGGCCGGCGTGCCGCTCGAGCCGTGCCCGATGACGCCCCTGAGCCCGTACCCGGGCCGGCTGGCGGCTCACAGCAGTCACCTGGTGCCGCCACCCGATCAGATTACCGCCGCCGTCAGCCGGCTGTCAGCGCTCGACCCGGCCCTGCTCCAGGTATGGCGCGTATGTATGTAGGTATGTATGTATGTATGTATGTATGTATGTATTGACACCAAAAGCCTTCCAGATATGTCGTGGCGATTACGGCTTATGGCGTGGCGTACAGTACGTGATTAGATCGACGAAGAACTGTAGCACAAATGTACATTGTACGTACATACACGTTAAATAACGTGCAGTGTCTTTTTGTGTTGTTTTGTGGCATACCTACTTACCTATATGACGTAGATCTGCATTTTACAAAAGCAAAGCCACCACCCGACAGCTGGCACATAAGAATTGTATGTCCTCTTTTGGCTCTCTTCCTGTCATCTCTGCCCAACTACATACCATCGGGTCCTCTCTCAGACTGCCCTCCGGCACTCTCCCAGTCTGGGAGAGTGCAGTCCCAGTGCCCTCCGACCCTCCTCCCAGTTCCGGGCCCGGCAAAGTGGCGTCCGCGACGCGACATTTCATTCTCTCCCTGTGGAAACATTTAATCGAATTACGTCCAATGAGAATCGTCCGTCATCAGGCGTTTTATTCATTCGACCAATGGTAATGAGATTTGTATTAGCTCCGCCCCCTGCATCGATCGAGCGACATCTGACGGCTGGCGCCGGCGGCGGCCGGCCGGACGGCAGACTCAAAGCAGACTCAGAGTCGCCCGGACTTCAGTACCGGCCACCGGGCCTTTATTATACACCTGCTTTCATTTTAGGAGTCGGTAGTCAATTTGTAGGCACACTCGACTCGTGCCGCTAGCCTAAATAAACATTTTTTTTCATTGAAGGAATAAAAACGCTATTGGATGTGGCCTTACCAGTTACCAGTAGGTAGTTAACATGGGGAGCGATACACTTTCTAGATTTCATGTTTTCGAAGCAGAAACAGCAGTTAAGTTTTGAAATGAATTCGCATTCATTGCAGTTTTCTTTGGATGCGTGTTGCGTTACTATGAACCTTCTGAATAATTAATATTTAAATGTTCTTTACCACTAACCACATTAACCCGTGTTTACTGTAAATCTCTTTACAATCCACATAAGACGGTCCCATCACATTTCATTGCGCCGCGGCCGGCACCGATCTGCATATGCACCCTCGTGGCTGTCGAAGCGCTCAAATTTGCATGTATGAGATCACGCCTGTCGGGCCGCATCACGGCAACGCGTCTCCAGTGCGGCGTATGTCGGTTGCGATCGTGTCGACAGCCGCTGTCGGCCCCGTGGCTCGGCTGCCACCTCGGATACGTCACACCAAATCTAATACCCAGATTGGAGTCGCAGGCAAATACGCGCCAATGATTCCATTTCTATAGCTAAATGATTAGCCGGCTGAAGGCAGCCCATTTGAATAGTGGTGGGGACAATTTATTTTCGGTGATGGTGCATAAAATTTGCGTTCATTACGGTGGTCGAATGTCTTTGTATCGTATTAGCAAAGGGTCGGTCGACCTTTTAAAATACGATTAACGGTAATTCGAGCAGGTGCATTATCCGCAATGGCTAGTGATTCACTCCAAAACCAAAAATGAAACCTCAAGGAATGAAATAACAGCAAAGTGGGCATAAGTGCGGTTGGTATACAAGTGGTTGCAAGTTACTCTAGCATACGCCATCGCATGATCAAATGCATGCTGTAATGACAGAACACTGGCCAGCATAATTAACAAATATGCGTTTTGCACTTGTGTTGAGCTGCTGGGTGCCTTTACAGCCTCACCAAACATGTTTCTGCTGTCTCTGCGGACCCGTTCTGACGTACCATTCCGCTGCTGTTCCAGTACGCGGCGGCGGCGGCCTCTCTGTCAGCTGTGACCTCCCTGGCGAGTTCTCACCACGCACCACCACCACCCCCGCCACCACTGCTGTTTTACCCGAGCGCCGGCTACCCGCTGGGACTGGGCTCTGCCGTATGGAGTTCGGCCGGCCGGCTCGCCTCCAAGACGAGCAGCATCGCCGACCTGCGCATGAAGGCCCGCAAACACGCCGAGAGTCTGGGCGCCGCGCTCGGCTCCAGGCTCTCACCAGTCTGAGTCTGGTGTTTGAGTCTCCCAGTCTGAGTCGTGGTTGAGTCTCACCAGACTTGGCGTCGGACTCTCCTCAGTCAGTCCTGGTGTGAGAGTCTCACAAGTATGAGTCACGGACTCCGGAGTCTCTTCAGTCTGAGTCCCAGAGTCAGACTCAAAGGCGCTTTTAATAGTATGAGTCCTGAAGTCAGAGTCGAGTCGGTCTAAACAACGGGGTCGGAGTCTCCTGTTTGAGTAACAGTGTCAGGTTCGCTGGTATGAGTCACGGTAGAGCCAGATTCTCACCGATTGGAGTCTACATAGGGGTCTCAGTACGGTCTGAGCCGCACTAGGAGAGAGTCATTAGACACCTGAACTTGTGAGTCGGTGAGCCAGGAGGCTTCTTCAGATGAGCCAAATTGCCAGAAAAGCAGTTTTGAATGAGGGAGTGCTGTCAGAATAGGGAAACGTTCATTAAATGGAGTCATTGCAATGTCAGTGCTGCAGTAGCGTGCCCTTGCTGCATAAACTGGTATTGTGATATGTGCTTAGTGCAAGTATCTACAACTTTTATTTGTTCTCAGTGCAGCTTGAAAAAATAACAAAATTTTCGTTAAACATTGCTGGTAGGTATTGCTATTAACTTCACGGAACGCTAGTTGATAAACTGATTATTTTTGCACCGCAAATACCTACTCGAGCTCATTAAGTTGGTCTCATAGTGATCTCTGAGAAGTACACAGATCTCATGCGCCTAAATGTGAGCGGTGGTTAAAAGGTCCATCGTTGTGTGAAAAGGCTCGTCGCGTTTTTTTTTTTTAGAATATTTGTGCGCGATGTTGGGGTTCAAGCTCCGTTAGAGCTGAGTTTATTCGGCGCGGATGTACCGGGAGCATACAGAAAGTGTTACGGACATATTATTGCCTGTAGCGTGCTTTATTGGACGAAATGCAGCTGAAGCATCCTCTTGAAGTTTGACGCTGGCAGGGCATGCTGTAACCCGCGATGTGCCATCAAGGGGTAAATAGATACACGTGCAATGTGGGTGGGCTGTTGTCATTCTTGTGGAGAGCGTTCCCCGGCGCAACTGTTATGTGCCGATTGCTATTTTGGTATGTGTGTCAGTCTGGGTATGCCTAATGTGCTAGTGCGCTCAGCGACACATATTTCTGTGTAGATGTAGACTTATGTTCCCCTGTATTAAAGGTATCGTAAAAGTTATTATGTGGCAAAAAGTATATGTGTCAATAATTTCTTCTATGAATAATCGGGGATAAAATTAGTCAGTAATGTATGTAATAAAAAAGCAAGGGATAAGCGTCAAAAGTATTCTAGGCATTTATCGGATATATCCGATAAATGCCTTTGAGATCCGCTATAGCATATGCATTTTCATAACCATTTTCAGGAGCGAAATGTTTGATAAATATAGCTCGAATATATTTGTCTCAGCTCGAATATGTTTGTCTTTATTTTGAATTCATTGGCGATTTCATCATGTATGCTATTGCAAAAGTGTGGCGAATTCGGAAAAGCTTGCGATGTGCTATGCTTTTGCCGAAACATGTGAATTTCTTTAGTTTACCGGGTAATATAGTACATCGGAAGCTACCCATTAATATGCTACCAATTTCGCAATATTAACATGTAAATGCTGTTCCCACGCCAGCTTGCACAACCTTTACTTGCCCACCTTTGTGCATGTGTAGGTATAAGGAACCCTAAATAAATTGTTCGGCGATGTACTCGTGGTAATAGCTAATGTGAGAGCGCAGGAGTCATCTCGTCAATTTGTACTGGCACCGACTGAGCACAAGTCGACCGTTGGTGGCCTCTGGCAGGGCCGAGTATTCCAGCAGCTCATGATCACATAATAAATCGCAGACCAGCGCAATGCGCTCCTCCACAATGCACATTTCTTAAAAAAAAAAATAAAGACTTTAGCCTTGCTTATCGACTGTTTTTTCAAGATACAAGAAAAGCGATCGCTTCACTACTTTATATTGTTATCTCGAAAAGAGCAATGCTATTTCCGATCGCACTCAACACGAATCGACGACATTGAATTACATTTAACGCCAACAAAGCTGAGACCATCTGCAAACTGCCACATCGGAAACGAACGCCGGCGACATTTGTTCTCGTTAGTTTTCCATTTGCTGCGCGACCCTGCTAAGTCCGATCGACGCGGCTGGGCCGGCGACCACCGATCACCTCCCACCCTTCTCCGTCGTCCGGCGGCGCTCCGTTTTTACCATTCAGTCGTCCATCCGTCTTGTATGTATCGGCCTGCTCTCAGCGCCCGCGGCCCAAACGACAATTGCCCGGGACGGCGGCATTAGAGAGCCGCTACAAGTCGTTACTGGGACCAGAAGCTCGCGGCGCCGCCGGCCGCCGGCCGCCTCCGAGCATGTTTATTTTATTACCAGCTATTCCAGCCCCGGTCCACTCGCATCACGGGCCATTGGCAAACATCAGATTTTATCCGGCGCTAATCCATCTGGGCCGATTATTGGATTACGATGATATGTGTGTGGTGGCCGGCGGCCGGTTTCCGCTCGACCGCACGGCACGCCGCTGGACTTTGGGGTGGAGCAGCAGAGGCGGCGGAGGCGCGTGCACACACACACACACACAAACACGTCCCAACGTTCGACCGCACGGCCGAGGGGTGGTTTTTAGGGGAGCGGAGAAGGCTTTGGCGAATGCACACAATACATATGTAGACACCAGCGTTCTCCCAAGGAATTGCATCATGCTGGCATGGATAAGTTTTTTTGTCAATAATTTCTGTCGGAAATATTACAAACACATTTAACGTCTACATTGCATTACAATTAGCTCGTGGTAGTTTTGTCAAAAACTTATTTACAATATGTGTGCTATTGTTGTGGAAAAAAACGGTTTATTAATCTTTGGTATTGCTGGCATTATTCTTGTGCCAATTTGCATAAAAAGTTGGTGCTCATACAGGTATATTAGACAAAACCATTGACGATGAGCTACTAACTAAACATGAAGCTCACTTACCTCGGCATGATTATTGATCACCAAAGCCACCAGTAAACGATATAGACCACAATTAGTCAAAGTCAAAGCGATAAGGTAAAATGCATAGATCGAAGCATTAGCAAAAAGCATCATCGATCGTAACCAGATTTTAGATGAAAACATAGTTGAACGTAAGCCCCGATTAATGTTGCATGTTTCTTACATCCTCCTACCATCTGAGCCTCTATAGCTTCGGTGATCTTCGAAAGCATTGAACGGCAAAAACTAAGCAAAACAGCACACGACAAACCTGAAACTGTGATAAATGGCTAGTCACCTCCTATGCCTAAATTTCAAGCAAACTTAATCAGAATAAAACGACCATCGCAATAAAGTGCGCTTTTTAGATTTAAAAAAGAAATCACGCCACAATTTCACTTTCACGGCATGGTGTTTTAACCCTTCTGTTTACCAAGCACACTTAGGGCAACATGAAAAGAATCTTCTCCAAAACCGATCTTCCCCCCATTACCGCCACCTTAGACGATGGGTTTGGGTTTGGACGTCCCGTGAGCGCTGTTGTGGCGCTGGTGTTTCTTCTTCTTGTCTTGTGCGGACGCCTGTGCCGACTCGGCCTGCACTGCCATCTTCTCCTTGATCTGATCCTCGGTTAGCGGCACAGCATCACTCTCAGCTTCACTCTCGTCACTGCAAGGCGTCACAGGGACGTGAGATATCAGTTTAACGCAGATACTAAACGGTTTCAAATCATGGGAGGCAAATAAACTCGAGATTGTCATGTTGAAATCGGGATTACCAGTAAAATTCACCCGAACTTATTCACAAAGTACAAATCCTATCGATCCTGTCAAACTTCCTCTTAGAATACCCATCCTCGCCATTATCAGCCACCTACTCTCTCGTCTCTCCCCATTATCCGACACTTACCCTGGTTCAGCCATCTCTCCTCATTCCTTAGCACTTACCCCGGTGACGGCGCGGCCACCTTGATGTCCACTGCAGCCAGCTGCTGCGGTAGCAACATACGGCTGCTCTGCTGGCGAGCCGAGGCGATCGAGCCCGACGGAGAGTTCTCAGAGTCCTCCAGACCCTCGGCCGAGTCTCGGCGGAAGTCGATGAACTTGCGCACTCGCAGCAGGTCGTTGACGCGCTGCTCCACCATGGTCAGGTAGGTCATGATGTTGTTCTCAGTCACCTGCTGGTTGTCGCCTGTCGAGGAGGAAACGAATGATGTCGATCATGCCGCATTCATTGTTAGGGAATTGTAAAGCAGGCCTTGATTTTGTTCTTGCGACCATGAGTGGCCTGACTGATTGAGATGAGAATGGTTATCCAGAGCTTCAGATGTTTAGCGGTGCTCATTAACTGCAGGTTTTATAATAATGCATTAGTAATGTACTTTAGAGCATCATTTAAACGTGCAACTGCGATGTATAATATTTGTAAATCGATCGTAACGTAATTATGCGATATATTACGTTGCTCTCCCCTCTAACCATATGAGACATGTGAACCGTAAATCATATCTTTCAGAACCATTTTAAACGCTCTGACATTCCGGCGTAAAACTGTGAAGCAGAGTCCGTACCCGACCGGAAACGTCCCATCTCAAGAGATCGTCATTCAAAGGTCAGATACCATGGACGTTTCTACAGAACTCAATGGACAAGACATTTAAGCTGGACCACCGTCCACCAGTCATTCGACCACTGATGTGTTATAGGGCAAGGGCAACAAGTCACGAAATTGACATTGAGTTTCGTTGCGAGAAATGAGGATACGATTGATGAGACGAGATGTGACAAGTTCACGACAAGATCATCATTATAAATTCCCTTGACCACAGTGTTCTGTATTCTGGATAGAGCAGCGTATTCTGCAATCCGTAATAGTTTTCCGTGCCCGATTATTTTCACATGTAAGAAAAAATACTGTCAACTGTTAGCTTATTAGCCCCATTCCTTTGTAACACCAGCCCAGGCGTGCTAGCATGCAGCATTCTAATGTGATAACTCACCGAGCAGCTCGAGAATAGGCGACCGGTCGCACTTGGTCTCGGTGACGAGCTGATCCACGCCCTGGCAGAGCTGGCGCAGCAGCGCCTGGTACCGCTCCAGCGACTGTTCAGCCTGGTCCGCCAACTCGGCACTCTCCTGGGCCTCGCGCTGCGGAACACAGAGACTTTATAGGATCAACACATAACACAGGATTGGTCAGATGAGCCGGAAAGCCGGAAAGCCGGAATAACTTATCAGGAAGGAGAGATGTTCTGCCAAAATGAGGGACGTAAATATACTTTTCATTTCCTAGTTCTATGCATAACATGTCCGTCATATCTTTCGCTTATTCTGCCTCAAGCATTCGGTATTACGCTCTGAAAAGGTTAAATGTTGATGCAAAAGTTCGCAATTCGAGGAAACTTGATTTTCAAATGTATTATGTTGATCGGGAACGTTACGGCGCACCTGAAACTAAGCACGATCACCTCACCTCCAATTTCTGAATCTGCTCTTTCTTATTCTCCGTTTCTTCCACATCTTTCTGTTTCGTTTTCTCAATCTCGGCCTCGGTCATGGCGATCTGTTCCTGCAGCGTTTCTACCTCTGTGTTGAGCTCGTTAACGTAGTTAAAGAGTGCAAAGTTCTTATCCTCCATCTTGACGTACTGCGCTATCAGGTTATTAACGTCCGTTTCTCCCGCGATGTCTCGGATTTTACGGAATGCCTCGCGATAAGCCTGTACGGTTTCCTCAGCCGTCTTCTCCGCTGACTTCTCATGATCTAAGGGAGAGCACAAATGGTTGTCAGTAAGCGCACAAAGGGCTATGGCTATCGGCGAAACTCCCATAACAGTGCCAAGCAGACAAGGCATCGTTTAGACGCAAACAATGAATACATAATGCACGGCGCACGCTGTACATACTCTCACCTTTTTTCTTGAGCTTCTCCTCGTCCTCCTCGATCTGCCTCTCGTGCGCCTTTGTGGACATGAACTCCTTCAGCTTGTGGTCGTGGTCCAGCGTGCGCAGCAGGTCCTTCAGCTCCGTCATGTGTGCCACCGACTCCTTCGTGTTCCGATCCCGTAACGCCGCTGCCTTCGAATTCGCTTCATCGCTGATGAGGGAAGTGCAGCGGTTTTTATATTATTTTTGCTAATTATAATAAGCCTAATATTATCTGTTAAAACAAACGCGTCTAGAAAATTATCAACACCACAAGCCTAAGTTCATGAAATTAACATCACAAGTCTTCCACATACGGCGTGGCGATTACGGTTTTCATTATTTTTCATATTAAATTATCGGAGCTCACAGCAGGGTTGTGCTTGACTCATGAGTCGAGTCAGAAATTTGACTCAACTCTGACTCAAATGAGTCAGATTTGAGTCGAGTCGGATAAAATGTTGAGCTGTTGAGTTGAGTCAGAGTTGAGTCGGACAAAAATATTAAGGTGTTGAGTTGAGTCAGAGTTGAGTCAGTAAAATAACTTTTGACATTGAGTTGAGTCAAAAACATTTAGGAACATGAGTCAGCTGACTAAACTTTCTAGAAACAATATATAGTATAATTTTTCATTCTCCCCCGCTCAACAACTTAGGCCTGGCCCTGCTGTCGGATTTTTTCACCCCCCCCCCCCGCTCAACAACTTTTTTATCTGAGTCAATTTTGAGTCAACACACTTGACTCAACAAAAAATTTGAGTCAAGTTTGAGTCAACTCATATTTTCATTGAGCCGCTTGAGTCATGAGTCGAGTCAAGGGAAAAAATCAGCTCCTTGTTTGAGTCAGAGTTGAGTCAGGGCATTCTGAAGTTGAATGATGAGTCGAGTCGGCAAATTTTTTTGAGTCGAGCACAACCCTGGCTCACAGTATCGAATAACACTATTCCAAACGCAGAAATAAAACTTATCAAACCAGAACACATATATAAATGCAATGTTACAAGTAAGAGACGTTAAGATACGAACCGCTGGTCATAGGCCTGAGTGGCCTGGTCGATGATTTCCGACGTTTTCTGCTTGGTGGCGGCCAGCCGATCGATCAGCTTGTGGTACTGTTTGTTGAACGTAGCTCTTTCGATCAGCAAATGATCAATCTCAGAACGCAGGTTGTTGTTCTCAACCAGCATCGAGTTAAATTTCACATTTGTCTGCGAAGGAAAGGAAATATATAGAAACAACACGACAAATATTATAAAATACAAATCAAGTCATGTTTTTTTTTAAGCCGAAACTTTAGCTGGTATATGGAGCTACACGTTTCCGTTCGCTTTCCATAATATGTCTTTCCAAGACTTATCAGTCTATTTCGACGGTACACCTACCTGAATGACTTGAAAAGATGCTAAGATGGGTTATAATTAAATTATATGTTGTTCTGGATAAAAAAGATAAATTCTGCTGCACATACCGTGTAGAGCCTGTTATCGAGCCGCCGTGCCTTCTTCTGCAGCTGAAACTGTTTATTTCGAACCACGTCGTTGGCACCCCCTCGTTTGGCCTGTTTCGGTATCTCTCTTTCCACTCTCCGAATGCGACTCTCTATATCGGCCAACTGAAACAAAAGCACTTTTAAAATGTCGAAAGCTGTCCAGTGCACATGGACCTTCTAAAGGCTGAGTACGAGGTCTGTTCTATTTTACTTAATTCGACTTTCGAGAAACAGTAAATAATAATTCAAATATTGCTGAAGACCGGTTAAGCATAAAACGTTGGTCAAAGCTGCGAAATACAAACATTTAAACACAATGATTGTTGAGATTTTAGAACCATCGTTTATCGCATCTGTGTGAATCCTATCACGCATCTTTCATTTGGAACAAGTGCCGCGGTCTGCGTGCGCTATTTCTCCAGCTGGCTAAAGGAAACAAGTTGCCAAGTATCAGCCCTCACCTGCTGCTTTTCAGCCTCTATTTCATCCAGCAATTGCTTTTGCTTCCCAACGTAGGAGCTTAGCTTGTTTGAAGCTGCCTTATTCTTTCGTGAGTTGTAATTTGAATTAATGAGATTCATGTCGGTATCAATTTCCGCCTTCTCAGCCATCAAATTATCGATAATTCGCCTGAAATATGAGATTAAATGTAAGTACTATGATAATTTTCAAGGCAATAACGCGACTCAAGCAAACAGCATTCAATAAACGTCTTAAACGAATCCCAGAAAACGGGTGTTTGACCGGATATCTAAATGGATGTGTGTCGTAGATGGCACTCGGCAAGATTGCTACGCGCTAGTTGTGACTTGAGGCGTTCGGTATTGATCATTAAAGTCAATCGGTATGTTTGCAGAAGGAATCGTATACCTCAGTAAAAATTTGACTGTTACTTGAAGATTTATTATAAGACCTAGCACTCTTACGAATGAAGTCTACAATTAAGTGATGGGATTTTAAAATATAAAATGCCAGCGACTTCTGACTGAAAAAGCCGTCTATCTCAGCCATGACCGTCCGGGTCCGAAACTCCCGTCGTCTTTTGCTCTAACCTCTGTTTGCGGAGAACCGTCTGCGTCTCCTTGTAGTAGGCCTTCCTGTCATTGTCCATGATGCGGTACTGGCGCTGCAGTCGCGCCAGTTCTGTCTCAGTGATCCCCTCCAGCTCATTCTCCTCCAGCTCTGAGCGCTTCTTACGATCCATGGTTGTGACGATACCGCACAGGCGATGATGATGCTAAGCTAAGTCTTCAAACGCTGAAAATAAGTGAATAGTCATATTATACTTTTAGGAAATACAACCCAATACGCTCACTCATCACTATATTTCAGCATAGTTAAACACAACGCTCTACACCGTTCTTACCCTCCTTGCATCCTAAGCCGTATTGGTGTTGTTGAGACTTGAGAGCTGTGCTGCAGATATAGGACAATGTTGAGTAATGGGGTAAATAGTCATTATCAACCTCCAGTAATTTCCAACAAAAGGTTACCGGAGCGCCATTGAAGTAATGCTATTCTTTACACCTCGGAGATTCGATGCCCGGAAACGAAAGCGCAGCGTTGAGCGTAAGCGTACAATCGATCTGCGATCAGCGTACCCAAAGGCCGTGTTTCAGTATAGGAGCTATCCGGTACAGCCTACAGATTCAGGCGTTCCATGCTAACGCCATCTAGCGACAAGAACAAAATTATTTCTTACGGGAGGCCCACCCGTTTGAACGTAAAGGATAATGCAAGGACAAAACGATATAAATGGTTATTTCGATTCCTAAGATATTGCAGGTTTTTGAAGCATATGTAGGGGAACTTGGCTAGCAAACTCAAATGTTCACATAATGAGCAAATGCACATTTAGCAACGGCGAAAACGCGGTCAGTGCATACAGCTGGAGGACAGAGTTCAAAACATAACTTATGAAAGTAATGAAGAACTTAAGCTCACCTTCAGGCTTCAGTCTCCACCTCATCACATCATTCAGCCTATTCCAAAGCAATCACGGATTGCCATCGTAGATTATGACAGAAACTCATCGGCAATAATTTGGTGTCTTACCAGGCATACAAAATTGTTAAATAAATACCATTTAATGGCTAGTGTTTCGTTATATCGTTCGTTTACGTTTGCACAAAATGCGACCACAGCCAGCTGTTCACGCGTGCCCAACCGACGAACGCAATAACTCTGTTGCCTAGCAACGCCGTCGAGATCGACTACACCTTTGGACGAGCGAACCGCACGAACGTCAAAGGCTTTGGAAGGCCCGTGGCACGGTACAGTGTTCCTAGTATTACACTGGATAACAGAGCGTACATACACCCTGCATTTGATGGCATTGAGAGGATTGAACCACAAAGTTCACGTTTGAATGCGACTATTCTCATTGCAAGGCAATCATGCCCACCATCGTAACTGACATCCGGACTTTAAACGTCTCAGCTTTATGATAATCCCCCCCCCCCCCCGATTCCACGCAGATAACGAACTGAACACAAAATATATGACTCGCACGTGTTCAATATTTCATTAAAGTTTGTTAGCGAATATATACGTGGCAGCAAGCCGTATTCCTAAGAACGAAGTTCATCGTTATTTGGGGTATTACGTAGACAGAGCAGACCAGATGAAACGGTAATAACCATCTGCCAATAACAAGAGCGAACAGAGACATCCTCAAAAGCAGCATAAAGTGTATTTCTCTTCCATCGACCACACCGACCGCTGTTAAAACACGCACCGACGAGCCGTTTTGTCTATCGCTCCGACAGTTGGCCAACACACCCGGGTGAAACTCAGTACACCGGCTTAGATGCACAAATCAAACAGAGAGGGAATGACATTCAGCGTATCACAGCGAGACAAGTGGTCAGAACCGAGAAATTTCGCACGTATGACGGGCGTCTCCTAACCAGTAGCGACTCTCACAAACAAACTCAACAAAGAACGGAAGTTAAAGCTAACGATGACATTACTCTCACGCCAACATCTACGCACTTCTAAAAACCACTACGAAAACGAAACACAACACTTCTCAGCGAGCGGTAGCAGCTAGAATTTGAACATGACTGGTGAAAAGCGGCCAACCCTGCGCGGAACCAAGGACATGTGACAGAGATTGCACACCGTACGGCCCAGGGAGAACGCGAGCGGCGCGCTTCAAGCGCCGATGACTGGGTTGCACGTAGTATATCACCCGGAGTGAGGCTTTGAGAGGTCGCCCCGACAGTATCAAGGCCAGAGACTGGAGGAGCCTGCCCCCCCCCCCCTCCTCCCCACCCCGACCCGCACCGACCCCACATCGGAACACACATAGCATTGCACACATAATTCGGGTCTCGCCCACGTCCAAGTATAAGCATTTCCGCGGCTCTACTGAGTCCTTCATTCGCTCTCATTGCTCACTTGTTGGTCATCCGATCACACAGATCCACTTTGATGTCACACCCACTCGACGCCTTGTCCACATTTATCCACGTTCTGCCCACATCCGATCCGCCCTAGCATTACGAGCCACTTTCGCATCGTGCACGATCTTGTATGCTGTCTCTAACCGAGAAGCATCCGATGTGCAATAATATGAGATTTCTCCTTCAAGCTGAGCGTTTCGCTGCTACCATCCTACTAAAATGGGCAGTGCTCTGTGGCCGGACAAAATTTCGTCGTTATTCTGCATTCTGGAGCGGAATCGAGTAAAACTTTTAAGGATCAGGCCACCTGTTGCCAAGACGTCGCTATGACAGCTTCTATTTGTGCTCTTTGCCACCCTGGCGGACCTGTTTGACCAGTGATGGATCATTTTGAGCCCAAAGATCCCGGTACGGATGCCATCACGTATCCCAGTACCGCTCCTGTAACCCGTGTGTGCATTTCCCCAGACCCCATCCCCTCTTTACCCCGTGTTGGTTCACAAAGACCTCTTCTTCGACAGTCTGTGCACCGCCATACATCCCTCGCCGGGGTCAGTCTTCTTCTGTAGTGTCATTCTCCACGGCGAAACCATCCGCTCACTTGCCACCTGGCTCGGAGCTGCGCTCTCGGTCCGACACGGGCTGGGCGACCACCGACTGGGAGGGAGCCGCTCCAGAGGAGACCTCGGTGCTGGCCGCCGCCCGCGCCGGGCCCGGATTGGGCTCAGACTTGGCCGCTGCTGCTGCTGCCATCTGCCGACTGGTGGACGAAACGAGAGACGGTCAGTGAACGGGAACGGGACCACGGGTGACGGTGGCAAAACCTGAGCACGTTTATTTTGCGCTAAAAATATGTTTTTTAGTTGAAATCAAACAATCCTCACAGCCACGTCAGCGTATATAATCATTTCGAGCGGTAAGGTTAAATTATTTACCAGATATTAAGACTAAGACTTAAAAATCTGGAGCTGGCATTACGAGCTGAAATTGCATTTCAGATCCACAGCGTCACAATCGGCAGAAAAACAGCTATCAGAACACATATCTAAGCCAACCACCATCGGCCTCAGCCCTCACCGTTCCCCTCGCCACTCACCCAGGTCGCCAGGAGGCCCTGCCGCCGGCGGCGCGGGTCGGCTGCTCGCTCTCCGCAGTCAGGGTGCCACTGGAGGAGGACGAGCTCGGGCCGGGCCGGGCCGACAGCAGCTCGGCAGGCACGGGGTCCAGCGCCAGGCCCAGGTCCGACACGGCACCCACCGCAGGCGGCTGGTCGGACTCAGCGCTGGTCTTCAGACCGGAGACGCCCGGACGACAGAGGTCCGACGAGAGGTTCACTGCGGCGGGACGGAGGGGAGGGTCACATACAAACTGGGCGGTACAGATCAGAGAGGTTCACTGCGGCGGAACAGACGGGAGGGTCAGCTGTAAACTGGATGGCACAAGGCAGAAAGGTTTACTGCGGCAGGACACAAGACGGTATGGGTTACGTTCGAACACTCGAGTATGTAAATGTCATTCAGCAAGCATATAGTGATGTGACAGCCACTAAAATAAAATATAAATAATGTGCGACTATGAGCTAGACATAAAAACAATCTTCCGGCTCTGAGCTGGACAATTAGGGTCACCTCCAGTTATTTTTATCTTCTTAAAAATTGAATTCCTCTACCCCTCCCAAACTCACGTGCCACCAGTTGGTCAGCCAGTTTGGATCCGTCCAGCGCCCTGCTCTGCTGCAGTGTACCCCGTCCCCTCCCCCCCCCCCCACTCACGTGCCACCAGTTGGTCGGCCAGTTTGGATCCGTCCAGCGCCCGGTCCAGCTGCAGGGTGTGCAGTACGCTGTTGGCGGTGACCAGAGGCCGGCGCAGGGAACGCGACCGGGGCCGGGCGCAGGCGCGGTACCGGCCGCCGCTGGCCGACCGCTCCTGCATGTCCAGCAGGTGCAGCAGCATCACCTGCAACGGAGCGGAGTGAAGGGCGATTTGTAATAAAAACATGTCCAGTGAATGTATAGATTGAAGAGTGTGGTTACTTAAGCAATAGAATATACCGACAGATATGTTGAACTGATAAGAGGACTTATTGGGGATGGGATACACTTCACATGCGCTAGTGTTACTCTTCATGCGACCAGTTGGGTAAAAGATTATCTCATACATATACTCAACGTAGACCAAAGACACGATCCTATGTAAAATGTCCGACGTTAATTTCTTCGTCGTTATCTTCACTGACATCTCCGCTCCAGCCCTGCCCTACCTGGTCATCCTGCGAGGTGGATGTAGTGCGCGGGTCACAGCCGCCCACCGCGCCCATAGTATCAGAGAGTGAGTCCAGCTCTGCAGAGAGCAGCGAGTCACCGAGCAGGCTGAGCTGGCCCGAGCCGCGCAGCGAGGACGGACAGCCCGTCAGGGAGCGCTCCACGTCGTTATCGCCTGAGGACGAGTGGTTAGAAGGGAGTCAGAAAATAGTAGATGAGAGAGGCTCCGCGCGAGTAAACCAGACACCGAGATAGGTATTTGGCAACGAGGTTTGTGCTGTCATGGAAATGGTAACAGTGTGAAACATCACCACGAGATGGGTGTGAGACCATCACTTTTTTGTTTGTTGTTGGATTCATGAGATTACTCATCATTACTGGCTTTACAAAGTAGGTAACGAATGAACTGAGGACGTTCCGGTGTTGTTTATTACCCGACATGGCCTCATCATCGACGTCATTTTCGTCGTTGGAGTTCTCCTCGGTGTGTGTCAGAGAGGGCTCCAGAAACTCGAACACTTCGTGCTCTCCTTCGCTGATGTCCTGGAAACACATCGGACATGATGACTCCAATTAGTTACTCGTCACCTAGCAGAAGCTCCGATCGGCATTCGAGCGGAATATGGTGAAATACGGAGGATGTATTCTTTCAGGTTCCAATCAACAGCTGTGCAAGGGAGTTAGAGCTACAATCTTATCCTACTAAAAAGGCACTAGCTAGCTCATCACCGCACAACGCTGTGAAGAAAACATCCAAACCACGTACCTCCGAGTCGCTGGACGTATTGCTCTGCCTCTCGGCCTCCAGTTCCACCCCGACCGTCTCCACCTTCTTGTTGCGCGCCGGCTTGGGCCGGGGCAGCGGCAGCGGGTGCGGGTGCGGCGCCGGGCCTTTGATGCTGGTCGGACCCAGGCCGGCCTCCATCATCTGCTGGTGACAGTCTCCGGACGGCGTGCCCTTACCGCTGGCCACGCGGGTCAGCTCCATGGCGATACGCTGCCGGGGGAGAGCGGGGAGCGGTCAGTGGGCTGACACGGGGTTAGAGATGGGCGTTAAGTTGTGAGCATGGTCCATCAGCTAGAATAAAAACGGCCATGCATCAGTATTGATGATGATTAACAAGCCAAGCACGTCCGCAACATTAAATATCCTTATCAGCATCCCACAATAAGGATGAGATTTAACGTTCGATAGCTTCTTAGGCATTTGTGCTTACTGAAGAGTACCTATCTATCGGATGGTCCTTACCTCCTTGAGGTCGTTGATCTGGGCGACATACTGTCCCTGGATGGTCTGCAGCTGGTTAATGTACCACTGCTGGTCACGACACTTTTGGAAAAACGTCGGAGGCCGCACCTGGAACCTGCAACATAGACACGAGAATACGGTTAATATTCACTCGGTAACAATAGCTGGTAAGTGCTAGGAAATGAACAGTGATGAAGCAAGAGCAATAGGTTGAACTGATCAATCCAATCTGACTGTAAAACTTTGTGCAACTAAAAGAACACGAACTCACGAAAGCCTGATTCAGGTCCATCACAATTCTATTTGCATTTGCATTCTATTTGTCTATTTGCATCAACAATTAAACCCAAAGGATCGTATTCGTCCCTAATCTTATAATGCTTCTCACTACCACATCAATTACCTATCCTTTCCCCCACATCAACACTCGCTGCACCAGCCTCTACTCCCTCACCAGTCCCTCACCCACCCACCTCAGTATGAGTGTGTCCGTATCGGTGTTGAGGTAGCCCTCGCTGGCCAGCAGGTCGAGCCTGAAGAACCGGTTGTAGCCCCAGCACTCGCCCACCTCAAAATCAGAGGCAAACTCGCGCACAATGTTCTTGCTGGTATCGCGCGAGCCCTGGTGGATCATCTCCACGCGGTATTCGTATCTGGGGAGAGAAGAAGGAGATGATGAAGCCGAAGGGAAACAACAGTGCGGCTATTAATTGTGAAGCGAAACTTATGAGCTTCGCTTCTAAGGCTGATTGAGTACTGAGGAGTGAAAAATCCATCTCTCTGGTTTTCATCAGGTAAAAACACAAAGCAGAAAACTTCAAAACCATGCCCACCAAAAGTGGTGTCTGATCCTGTATGGATCAATCCCCGTGCACTATCACCCTCACTCAACAAATGCCAGTATTGATCAAACATTCATCGCAGCGACCGCGCCAAACGACATGAATGGCCTCAGGCGTTAACGACCGGATCCATCCATTTGGCGTCAATGGTAGCCGATGTCAAATGATCTTTAGTGTCGACATATCGACGTAGATCCATCATAAAAATACACTCACTTGTGACTAACATTTTCATACATGAGACGATCGCGGTTACGGTGCCAATGCGCTCATTTCACTTCATAGTTAAGTACTGTGCTCCTAAAATCAATTAAACCATGAATTATGTTCCGATAAGCTACTACAACAGTGCGTGCAGCTTGATCAATATCTTTTTGCCTTCATTATGGCACCGCGGCAGCGCAGCTGAGCCGGCGGAGGAGTGGAACTCAACTCACTTGGAGGTCTCCGGTAGGCCGGCGCTAAGCTCCAGGAACACGGAGAGGTAGTTGCCGCGGACCACTCCGTTACCGTCCGGGTACACCTTGAGACGCCACGACAGACTGAAACGACACACGATATGAGTGTAAATGTACAGGTAGTTGCCGCGGACCACTCCGTTACCGTCCGGGTACACCTTGAGACGCCACGACAGACTGAAATGACACACGATACGAGTGTAAATGTACAGGTAGTTGCCACGGATCACTCCGTTACCGTCCGGGTACACCTTGAGACGCCACGACAGACTGAAATGACACACGATATGAGTGTAAATGTACAGGGGACCACTCCGTTACCGTCCGGGTACACCTTGAGACGCCACGACAGACTGAAATGACACACGATATGAGTGTAAATGTACAGGGGACCACTCCGTTACCGTCCGGGTACACCTTGAGACGCCACGACAGACTGAAATGACACACGATATGAGTGTAAATGTACAGGGGACCACTCCGTTACCGTCCGGGTACACCTTGAGACGCCACGACAGACTGAAATGACACACGATATGAGTGTAAATGTACAGGTAGTTGCCGCGGACCACTCCGTTACCGTCCGGGTACACCTTGAGTCGCCACGACAGACTGAAATGACACACGATATGAGTGTAAATGTACAGGTAGTTGCCGCGGACCACTCCATTACCGTCCGGGTACACCTTGAGACGCCACGACAAACTGAAATGACACACGATATGAGTGCATCTTAGCACCCACTGCAACCATCACAGCCTGAGAGAACACAGGTGAGAGTATGAACAGCGCATACAGCACATACAAAGGCCACAAAACCCCGAAAAACGACGGCTGAGAGTGGCAGCATACCTCATTCACTACGACACTTGAAGCCTGAAACTGAACATGGCATATGTTTAACACTGTTCACGGAGTCTCCACACAGCTGTTCACTCACAGTCAACCACCAGTCCGGCCCCACTTTACTCTGTGTCGTTTCTTTACTCACCCACTGACGTGCAGAGGCGGCGAGTAGACCGGATCGGCCTTGCTCTGCAGAGAGCTGAAGTGGTACATGATGAACGTACTGCTGTCGTACGGCGGCACGATCTCACTGAAACGCAGACGCGGGACCACAGGTAAATCGCTACTGAAGGAAGGGAATGAATAACAAGCTGGTAACTGAAGACAGTACCAAGTTATTAATAAGCAAAACATGTGTATTAAACGTACTAAAACTTACATATCTACATCGTATGACTACGCTAAATTTTCCCGATAAAACGGAACAAGCTGTAGATGCAGCGTGCACCCAGAGAGAATAAACAATGCTCTCTTTCGCCACTCCCCCCCCCCCCCCCCCAATGCATAAAACCTTTTGTGGTGCCAACTGACAGCCGATCACATCAACCTGTCGCTCCCCGGAGCCACGGGCGTCAGCTCACCTCTGGAAGTCGGCGGGTACGGGGGCGGTGACGAACGAGGCCATCGGCTTCTTGTGCACCTGGTACACCATGTTGAGCAGCTCAGGCGAACGGGCGATCAGCTCGGAGCGGGCGCTGGTGTGCAGGCTGTGCTCGATCTCCTGCAGCAGGCTCTCCAGCTGCTCCGTCTCCTGCAGAGGACGGGGACTGAGTCAGGCCCTGGTGAGAGTCGGGGTCATGATGAAATGCCACTGATAATAATGAATTAAATCAAAAGGGCGTGATTGTACACGACACACATCCATCAGCACTCATTACTTCTCATTCATTCATTCCCATGAGACAGTCATCACCCACAACACGCAAGTCACCCAAACGATATTTCAGCACAACTAGTGCAAGTGCGTAGCGGCAGTATGCAGTGATCAAAATCTAAGGGCACGCACCTGGGTAAGCAGGTTCTTCTGCGACATGAGTGTCAGCAGCTTCTGTTTGAGCTGCGAGTCGAGCCGGGCGATCATCAGCTCCACGGCGTTCCTGATCTCACGGACACGCTCGTCCTTGGCGGCCCGCACCGACTCCACGTTACGCTCCTGGGAACACGGCGAGGGGTGCACTGGGTTATACGGAGACAGTGTGGCCCGACATCTACTCAGTTACGTACTTGAACAACATGCGTGTGCTATACAGATATGACACCCGGTAAATGAAGACATTAAAAGATTTTTGGTAAAAATGTACTTTCAACCACGTAAATAACGCTGGTCACTCGTAACGGTGACTATGGACCGTTATCTTACTTACTGACACTATGGACTGTTTGACCTACGGCGCGAAAGCTTTCTAGCTTATTAATGCAGTTCCGAGGGGCAGCAAAGATCGAGAGCGATCTACGAAGTAGTTCGCCATACCGTCCCACCTTGACACATCACTCACCACCTCCTGGACGAGACTGATGAGCTCCATCAGTCTCCTGCGCAGCAATGACACCTCGGTTTTGATCTGCCCCACGTGCTGCTCATACACCTCCTCCAGGGGTTTGAACACGTGTCCCGAGTGGGTTCCGCCCCAGAGCGCGCACTGGTGGCAGATGCACTCGCGGCACGTCCAGCAGTACACCGACATCTTCTCCTGGTGGGTCTCGCATCTGGCGGCGCACAGCGGGGATGGTTTACATGCAAACGTGCTTATTAAACGATATGTGACAAGCCGGACTTGAGCCAGTGAAACGCAATTAATGAAACACCTTTCCGCTCATTTATCCTATGCAATGAAATAAAACGCGTTAAAAACGTAAAAGTGTCAGGTTTGAAAGCACGCAACTTTCACGTTGCATCTCAGCTACCATGACAATGATACATTTCAGAGATCGGCCTCTAAAACACATAATCACAACAATGTGCCCCATCCATTCACCTATCACTATCCCTCCCCGCCCCGAGCACACCCATCCGTTCCCACCCCGCGACCCTCTGACGATTTTTCTCACTTGTCTCGCTCGCCGGTGTCCAGTTTGAGGTTGGCGCCGACCGCCTGCAGTGTGTCCAGCTGCTGAGTGACCTCCTGCACCCAGCGGCAGTTGACCAGCTCGTGTAGGTGCAGGCTGGCGCGGCAGTGCGGACACTGGCTGCGCTGCTCAGTCAGCCACCGGCGGATGCACATGTAGCAGCAGAGTTTGGAGCAGTGCGGGCACAGGTGGGCGTCCCGCAGACGGTCCATGCAGATGAAACAGCGGAACACCTCCGCCAGACTCTGAGACGGAACGGAGAGAAAGGGGCGGTCACGGAGGGCACCTGTAACATAGCAGGTCACGGAGAACACGGAGAGCGGGGAACCTGGCTTCTCAGCTGTCAAGGGAAAATACCGGAGAACAAGAATGGAACACACTGAAACGATTCGGAACGGTAATAAGATAAGTAATTGTGCCAGATGGATATGTTGTGATCGAAGACTACGAGTACAGCCCACATTCGTCAGGAAACAACCAAAACTTGACTTATACAGAATCAGAAAAGAAGCACACAATAAGATATTACGAACAAAAATGCCGACTCCTACAACGAGTGCCTTCAGCTCAATCGTCGTTTACCTCTTCGGGTGGAGACTTGGAGGCCATGGCGACACCGCACACGACCTACACTTCCTCGCCAGATGGCAGCTTAGCGACACAGTGACTGACTGAGCAAACCAGAGCGACACACCACGCGTGCACAGAGATACCAAAGATGTGGCGCCGGCAAAAGTGCCCCGAGCAGGATGCGGCCGGCACGACCCGGGTCTCGTCAGATGCACGAACTCTCTCGTGGAATGTGGATAAATGAACCAGATCAAGAGTGAGCACAGAAAGAAGATATAATATACGTGAGATAAATAACGGCGAATGAGGCTTGCGAGCACCGTAGACCGGTCTAGTCAAAGGTAGAATGGCCAATGATAGCCAGCGATTGCGAACGTCCCCCATCGGGCGCAGAGAGTACAGGGTGGCATATCGACCACGCAAAGGGCGACAAGCATTCACGGCGGCGATAGGGAGACGTGTCAGACGTGCGTGGGGTATTGCCGGGGCGCTATTTATCCGTCCCCGGGCCCACGGCGTTCTGTTGAATCGATAACCGGTGCACAGCCGGCTCATGCCTCGAACGATACGGCACTGACGCCGGGCATAGCGGCCGTTCCAGTACCTACGGCCTGGCTCGAGACTAAGCAGGGGCTGTACGATTCGAAAAAGTTACCGAGCAAATATGCCTTACTTCAGCACCTACAATCTACATACACAAACACATACATAGACCACTATATATCGATATATAGTGGTCTATGAGTGACACATATATGTGACTTTTCAAGAAATGGTAATGAAATCACTGAAACACTGTTTCCACACTCAATTAACAGGGAAATGATAATCTTATCATCTGGCAGCAATGCAAAGGTGGAATGTTCTAAGCACAGGTACCTGATTTCAAAACTAGTATTTTTCATGCTATCGTGAGCTCTGTTATGTAATTCTTCACTGGGCAAATGGGCTCCAGTTCTCATTCAAAAACACCACACAATTCATACCATACAACTTGGGTATGTAGGTCATAAATGGTGCCACAATACTGACAACAGCCAATCAACATCCAAGTGCCTTTGCTTATCATAGCTAATCAAACACACTTATGCTCAGAATGCTTTGCATGCTCAATTCTCAGAATGCTTTTCCTTCTGCACTACACTGCCAGGGGTTATAAGTCGATTGGGCATCAAAGAAATGATGAGAAGTGGCCTTATGGAAGAATGAGACATCCGTTTTCTGCACTGACAGGGGTTGGCCGGAGTTTTATGAATGGGGTGACCGATATCATGAAATGGATGTATTTTGTTAGAAAAATGAAACAAATGAGAAGCAAGATTGCACCAACATAATTCTCATTTGAATTCTTTATTTTCCTTTGTTAGGAGAGCTTGAACATTTTGAATGAGTGACTGGTTGTGAAGCCTGCATCTAGGTTGAACTTGTGTAATAACATTGTTGTAACCCCCAGGACATCTCAAGCCTTGAGCATTCAAGGTATGAATGTTGGAATCTGTCACATACCCACATAGCGTGAGTGAGGAATGCCCTACACTGCTAACTGCATTTGTTCTCTTCTACAGAAATACCAGATATGACCATATCTTCCAAAGGCATGGAAAGTGTATCATAGCAGGCCAGCCAAGATTGTGCCTGAGGCTGGATCCCACCCAGGCAACCAAACATGGAAATTGAGATAATCACCAAATGAATGGTCTTTAAGCGCACATTATTGTGGAAATATGTCCTTCTAAAGCCCTTGAAATAACTAAACATTCTTGCATTCTTCAGAATTGAGTTCTTAGGAACTCACAGAATCCAGCTCAGATCAAATAGCTCTGGATCCAAGATTCAGCAGGATCCTGGGCAGTGGCCATATGTGTAGATGAAGTATGGTTGGTAAATAGTAGGTTGGTAGGTTATAGGTTTTAGGTTGGTAGGTTGTAGGTTTGTAGGCTGTAGGTTGGTTTGTTCAATGTTGTAGGTCAGTAGGTAAGGTTAGGTCAGGTTGGATTGTTTTTTATCTTCACCATATTTCATCTGCACATTTACTGGATCCTGGGCCATGTTTTGCATGTTATGAACCTTGGAAGCAAAAAATTATCACACATTTGAGATGTTGATGCCAATATATGGGATGAATTGCAACATAGCATTGTAACTTGCTATATGTTGCCACTATCTCTGTGGAAAGCCGAAGGTAGAAGTGCCCGAGGCCAGGGAACAAGTCTGAAAGCAGCACACCACAAAAAATGCTTCTGCTTCTACCGAGTACCACATAACATTTAAGGGTAAAAGTATACATTGAGTCCGAGTGACTGTTAACCCTCGCCCGCACATGGGGGGGGGGGGGTGGTTGCCACCCCACCCCCCCCCCCAGGCAGTCTTTCTGCTCTGCACTCAACATTTTTAGAGCTAGAAGGCTGATTTTTCGTATAGCTGCTCGTCTATTCTTTCTTGATGTCCACTGAAAATTTCAAGTTTCTGTGATTTTTGGTTTCGGAGATATGACCTTGTTTTTCAGGTCATGTCATGACCCAAATGGCCAATTCTCAACATCTTGCGTTTGCCATGGGCCTTGTGAGCTTTTGACACCCTGATTTCGGCCTTTTTTGCCAGTCTTACCTCCCACCTATCATGGAACATGTTGTTCGACGATGTACAAGGGTCAAGGTCAGGGTCAAGGTCAACCTAGGTCATCTAAGATAATTGCGTTTTAGGCAAGCTGAATTTACTTTTTGTGAATTTTTTTGACTGCATTTTTGGTAAAAGCTTCTCAGATCATGATTTCATGTGATATGGACCCAAAAACAATCGGTGCACACATCAGTATACACACAGACACACACAGACATACAAACACATATAATTGACCTTGACCTAACTTGACCTGAAATGACCTCAGCAGCAAAATTCTGGTCGGATAGTTTGACAAAGAGGTTCTAGCTGGCTTGGCACCAGAAAACAGCCTCGTCATCGGTATTTGATAAGCAGCGCACTTGATATCTAACGGTGACCCAAAACAGCAACATTTTTTAGTTTGACCTGACCTGGAAGGTCAATGCCCGACTGGAAAAAATGCACGCTTTCGTCGAGAACTCGAGCGTAGTTGGGCGTTTGCGCCGAAAATTTTCGGCGTACTTCGGCGTAAATCGACGGCTTGCGCCGAAATTTTCGGCGTACTTCGGCGTAAATCGCGAAAAAAAACGTCCGGGGGGTGGCACCAACCCCCCTCGGCCGGCGAGGGTTAAATGTCTTCGGGAGTTAAACATCTTAAATATCACTTATCTTGTCTCGTGTTCGTCTCAGGGTATTTAAGTCATGTTCAGTGAACCTGATTGCGACTCTCCCACGGCGGGAACAGTTCACCGATCCAGAGTGAGGTTATGGATTGTCGGATCCCCTAGTTCAGATAACGTATGCTATCGTGTGCGTATTGACCGTTGTGATTCCTGTATTTCCGGCGTGTGGTTTGTGAGCGAACGCTGGCAATCGGTCCCGCGTGGCCTGGTATCTGCCCGATCCCATCGGCCGTGCTTGCACCATGCCTGTTGAAGGCCCAGTCAGGCGTCAGTCACCGGCTGGGCACTACTGCTGATCAGAGCCGGGCAACAAAATAAAGGTTACGTTATGGAACATGCCAGTGAGTTTGTGAGTCAGGAGATTTTGTGATAGCAAACCCTGGTGCTCGGTCCCGCATGGCCTGCTGATGTCTTTTGTCTGCCCGATCCCGTCGACCGTGCCAACAACCGTCTGTAGACAGTAGTCACTGGAAGACAGTCACACACACACGCCAGCCCCCCCCTCGACGAAAAGTGCGTGGCTACAGCCTGCAGCCATCAGTAAGCCTTGAAAATTTTCGGCGCATGAAGCATGGCTTGGTAAAATAATTTCGGCGCATAAACCCTTGCGCCGAAATTTCGGTGCATCACCTCCGCCGAGAACTTCAGCGTAGTGGAGGCATTTTTTCCAGTCGGGGGTCAATGACTGACCTGAGAAGGTAAAACTGGGTATCATTGGATTCGTCTCTTCCCAAAGAATCTTTTTGGTCTTTACTGCTAAGCTCTATCTCCAACAGGAACGAAATGGCGCGGGGGGGGGGGTGACAACCCCCCCATGTGCGTTCTAGGATGGGAAAATGGCATGTGCGGGCGAGGGTTAAAAGATAAAGTTTTCATATTCTTACATTATTTGACATCCTGAATCCAAAAATGATACTTATATGTCCTGGAAATAAAAGAAAAAACATAATCAAACCTGACCTAACCTTACCTATTTACCTACAAAGTACAACCTACCAACCTACAACCTACAAACCTACAACCTAACCTAGCCTAACCTACAAACATACCAACCTAAAACCTAAAACCTACAAACCTACAACCTAACCTAACCTAAAACCTAAATCAGTTGGGCAAACTAGGCGGCGTGAATCAAAATATGGAGGCATCAAAATATTGATTCTAGTGGGCGGAGCTTTGACCATATATGGGCATAGAATCAATATTTTGATTCAATTTGGGACGTTCCCACCTTCAGACGACCCGTTACGGCGGAAATAACCCCCATGACGGCGAGATTTTTCGACAAGTCAATACAAAAAACTTCCCCGCTTCAATTTTTCGCTGCATGGCTATCAGCCGTTTGTCGCGCGTACCTTTACGGATGGCATAAAGATTTCGCCGCCATAATTCAACAAAAACGTGCTGTTAAAACTTGCTCTGTTTATCATTAACGACAAGCCTCTGTAATTTTTTCATAATTTTGTCTAAAAGAAAATAAAAAATGCGTTATTTAGTTGTATAATTCATTTATAAGAAATATTCTTTTTCTTTGTATCTAGCCACGATTTCCGGTTCCCGCCATTTCGCGCCGGCGTCGTGGGTGTTTGGATGCAACGTAGTGCTCCCGGTTTTATTTTGTTTAAAGGAAATAGTTCACTTTTTAACATGGGTTTTGAACTGGAATAGCAGTTCCGTAGCTTGGGCTGAGACGAGCATAAATCAGGAGCTTTTACAGCCCAACGATCACCCTAGGCAAAGATATTCTATTTCTCGTCCCGAAAAAGGTGTCTTGCGTTGAGGATGTGTGCCTTGCATATATTTCCATCCAGTATGAAAAGAGCATGGGTCCCGAAAATTCTTCAGAAACTAGATAAATTATCTACGAGAACTCTAGAGAAATTCTCGTACTGATCAATTAGGACATTCAGGGGAACATTATTAGATCGAGCAGATCGCCCAAATGCCGGTGGCTGCGATAATTTCTCTGTTTCTGAAGAATTTTCGGGACCCATGCTCTTTTCATACTGGATCGCGTGTGCCTTACAGAAACTGAAAAGTTCTTCCTATATCAAAATATAGAGAAAAAAATCTTTTGTTATAAAAAGGTTTTATTTTCTTTGCTGATTATTTTGAACATAAAAAATAATAAATCGTTGCAAAAAAAATAATTTCGTGAAAGTGAACTATTTCCTTTAAGCGACCTTTTCTGAAGTGTAAGTAACAATGGATCATATTTTAAGATACTTTGAAGTGTGTTTTTCAATTTCAGGCATGTGATCTTAACGTTTCTTACCGAAAACTCGTTTTAAGAGATGGTTTTAGGAACATGGCGCGGTAGCGACGTCAGCGGCGCGGGACGCCTTCTCACTTTTCTGCTGTCTTTTTAAGCTATATTTTTTTGAAAATGATGTCTTAGGTGTAGTATTTCAGTGAAATATGATGTCCTTTAAAAGTTACGGTATAAATTAGTTACAAGAAGCCTAATGTTTTGTCTCACATGATAGAATTGTTGGGTGGACTCATGAAATGGGGGCAGTGCATGTCCAGTATTTTACATAATTTGGATGTTTTAGCCTCTGCTTGTGTCTCACTCACCCAATTGTTGCTACAACTTTAATTTGTAAGTGCAACAAAAGCAAGTTGCTGAATGGTGTAAGCCATATTTACATTATGCGTGATCTTCAAGAAAATTATGTGTCTAATGTACGTCAGTCCAGGGAATGCTGGATAGTTAATTTTCAGGATTGTCCATGCCAAAGTTAATTTTAGAGGCCAGTTTTATCAACACAAATAGTTGCATGCTGGAATTTTTTGCCTAAAGACTGCTTCACATATGGAGCGTTACATGATGGGCACGTAAACGGATAGGGCTGTACTGTTCATGCTCTGTATGTGAAGTAACTTTTAGACAAAAAAAATCCAGCAGCCACCTATTTTTCTGTTGGTACAGCTGGCCTCAGATCTACTTTTTTGGCAGAATTTATATAACTGCATGAGATGACAGTTGTTGGCGCACCTGGTGACGTTCAGTGGAAATTTAAGCGACATTAAGTATTTAATTTTTATTGAATATATTCTAAAATTAATAGTTGCTGAACAAATAGAATAATAACACATATAGTTTCCTAATCTATTGTCCACAAATGTCCTAATTATTGTGTTCTGTTCTGTTGTTTGCTGCAGGTCAACCAAGGCTCAAACACTGGTCGTTGCGGGGATCAGCTTCAGAGGGTCAAGGATGGCGTCTTGAATCGCTGTTCAGTCGACAGGCAACTGTATGACAACGCCATCCCTGTCAACCAGAGCGTCGACCGAAGAAGGGCGGCGTTGCGCGGACCTGGCCGCACCCGACCAACCGGTGGAGTACCTGACTCGGGCTGGGCGGAGACTACCTACATCACGACCTTTTGAACTTTGATCTCGTAGCGAGAAACAATATGACGTAAGGAAGTGTGTATGTGGCTGGCGGGGCCGAGGGTGAAATGCGCCACGTGTTTATCCTGCCGGATGACGACAGCGTCACCAACCTGTCAAAGAACGAGCTGGTGCAGCGCGTGATGACTGCTATCTCGTCCCTAGAACCGGAGTAGAAAAACGTGCGCATAGCCCAAATGAAGCGAACCAAAACACAGACAGGACTGATAGCTTTTCGGTCGAGAATGTTCTGAAGATGCTGATCAGTAGACCAATTGGTGACCGTTTTCGGTGGTAATATGGGATCTTGTGGTGTTCCAAAGCGACCTGCTTTGGGTGTGGACATAAGTGGCTCAACCTGACAGGATTGATGTTTTAGGTAGCCGTGCTAATCATAAACCCTATATTGAGTGTATCTGTACAAATTTTGTTTATATTTATTTCATGTATTTGATTCGAAACCGAAAATTGTTCTTTGTAAGTAGGCAACATCGAGACGTTGAAGTCATTCTCCAGACGTTTATTTGTTTTTCTTACCTGTCCATGGTATGTCTTATTGGTTAGGTCTCAGTTTCAAATATTATTAACTGCATGTTTTGCAAATACGTAGCCATATTGAATAAGAGACGTGTCCTAAAAGTGAGTATTGCTTTGCATGGGATGTGAGCATCAACGACAGGGCTTTGTGATGGCAAATGTGTGGCAATTGCAGGGATCTTTGTGAAATGTGTTATGAATATCATCGTATTATTTGCGAATGCAAATACATCCGTGTATCATATTTTCATTCAAATTGTGCAATTTGTGCAACGGGCTTGAGTATATTGTTCGGCGAAATATCTCTTACTGTACTCCACAGAAATGGGACGGGATACAGATGCGTAGAAACACATTCATGAACACGTGAAAGACGATAAGTTAACTTTTTTTTACTCAAAATCAATGCTACAAAGCAGGGATGTGGAGCCGTGAAAATGTCAGACGGCTTCGGCTCCGGAGGAAAAAATCGGCTCCAGCTCCGGCTCCGGCTCCGAGTAAAATGGTCGGGCTTCGGTTCCGGCTCCGACTCAGTACAACCCCTATACAAAGGTCAGCACGGCTCCCTTCACGCATTCCCTCGAAGGCTTGCAGCTTTGAGCAGGGAGCTAGGGTGAGTGCTGAAAATCCCTGGTCTACCGTGGGAATAAGGTCTAGAAAAAAATTACACGATCCTGTGCTGATAATATCTTCATGAATTTATTGAATTTGCATTATTTGCACACAAGAAACGTTCCATAAATCAATTTGAAGAGTGAAGTACATCTGCAGAAAGTCAGTTCGCAGAATCAATATATTGATAGACCAGCTGATTTCAGAATCAAAATAATGATTAGCCAGCTGTTTGCGGAATCAAAATATTGATTCTCGCCGGGATTAGCCGCCGTGATGAATCAAAATCTTGATTATTTTCAAGACGCTTTCCTAAACTAACCTAAGAGGTTAGGGCTATTGTTTCGTGCCTGGCGGGTAGCTTCAACGTTGCTCTTCATTTTGTGAAGAAACTATCTTGAAATTGTAGCCGGTTGCTGAAGAATTGACGTTTCTGTGATGGTCTGCACGTATGCCCATATATGGTCAAAGCTCCGCCCACTAGAATCAATATTTTGATGCCTCCATATTTTGATTCCCGCCGCCTAGTTTGCCCAACTGAAATTTTTTGCTGTTACATATTTGTATCAACAGCGTCACAATTATCCACTCGGACCTAATATATACTAATACCCATTTTAGTTTAGCCTTACCTCCACACTGTGTTCATTTTCCTTGGTTTCTTCAGGCTTTTTTCTCTCGGCAGGCTCCTCAGGATCCATCTTCACCTCTTGTTTGACTTTGGTATTAATTGCAAATCATTTCACATGGTATAGTTCACAAAAGCATGACCTGGAAAAGGAGCACAAACACTCATTCATCAGTCTTTCACGGCAGGACAAGGTGATAATAGATAAAGCGAAATCATAAATGACACAAAGAAGTCAGCACTGGCACTGAACTGAGAACTCAATCCCACCAGGCACCAGCCACTAGTTATCAAAACGGAGATCTCAGGCATTTATGAAATTTGTGAAGCATAGCAAATGGAGAAAGCTTGTCCCTAAGTTCACCTACCACGCCAAACGCTAAAACCTTGCACAGGCCTGGTCGGAATCGGCTGACAGAACTTTGTCAGCCGAGAATAAGCCCCGCCCACACCACGCTGCTGATGGGCTTGTTCATAATCGGCTGACAGGAAACGTCAGCCCAGATGGCGCTTAGATGCTAAGATGGCGCTCGACAGATAGGGTTGAGAGTTGAGACTTGAGGAGAGGTAGCATTTTCGCGCTTTTTTCAACGACTATCTTCCGTTAGTCGTTACATTATATTTCTGAGGTTTATTTGCCGAGGCTATAGAAAAAATTACAGGATTGATAATTGAGGCAGTGCTGGCATTTCGATTTGTAGGTACTGTTTTCAGGCTGACTCGCACATTGCGCCATGAAAAAGAAATAATTGCTATCTTTCGCGAAAAATATTTAATACAAAATACGTCAAAAACATCGTATATAAAAACTAACCACCTGCACTATAAAGCTGCGCTTTGACTTACATGCGCCACTTTCGAGCCACTTTGAATTTCGGCTGACGTGCTGCTGCCTTCTCCCAGCAGCCGAAAAGCCGGCTGTCAGCAGAGGTATGACGTCACAGCGCGGGAAGGCGTGATACGTCATCAATATCTCAACCAATCAGGGGCTTGGATCTCAGCTGACAACAGCACAGCAGCCGATTCCGACCAGGCCTCACATCTCATTCGGTTCATTCATTCATTTCACACGGATTGGGATTGGGGGATTAGAAACGAAATTTCTCTCTTCTTTTGTTGAGTATAAACTATTTAGCGTACTTTTCACTAATTTCTTTTTCTTCCCTAGCTTGATAAATTATAATCAATGGGCAACGAAAGTTATCAAACTTGGGCAAAGTAAGCGCTAAATAACATATGCATGTTTTTTCTTGCACTATTTGTGTTAGGAAATCTAAAAGTAGCTGAATTAAGCCTGCTACCAAAGTGCGAAAATAAAGTTACAAGTCAGATAATAGGAAGTTGAAGTAAAGCTAAACCCGGAACCAGAAATTCCTGCCAGCTGTTCACGACCCAATTATGATATGACATAAAACAATACATTTGCATCCTGTTTTTGAAACTTTTGACCTTAACATTGCTGGTAGCTGAAATTAAATGTTTCGAAATAAAATCTGTTGCGATTTTTATACTGAACTTGTTGCAACATAGCACAATTAGTATTCTTTCGCAACGGCAGAAATGGGAGCTGACTTACGGTAAGTGACGTAAAAATGAAATATTGGTATGTTTATGAGTCTACAGGTTAGATAGCTTAAAAGCAATAAAAGAATATCACAAAGCTAGCTAAAAAGTACCCGGAAATATAAAATTTGTGTTTCAAAGAATTTCACATTTGAATCCTTTTGATAAAGTGCTTGCCACAGCTGGTCGTTTCTATGGCAACGCCCCTGGCATTCTCCACAACACTGGGTGGATTCTCGGCACGTAAATAACAAAGCGTCTGGTCCGTCTGGTCCAACGTCTGGTCTTGCCCAGGGGGCTGTCATCCCGAGCTTTCCTATTTGCCGGGCACCCGGATCTTTAACATTACCCGTGACGTCAGCGGACCGGACACTTCTCAGCTGGCCTTCCCCGCAAATTTGGCCTTGAATTCGATTTTGAGGGTCACGGACTCACGGTTGTAAACAAGTTCATTTCCTGTTTCTTGCTTGTGTTGTACCTTGGTTGTACCCTCGAGTTGATTGTTTGAAACCATTGAAACTTAAATTGATTGAATGATTCAGGACTTGATTCAGGATGTCGTACTGTGCGGTGGCTACATGCCGAAGTTACCGAAGGACTGGCAAGTTCTGCACAAAATCGTTTTTTCGGTTCCCGAAGGATCCAGCCACATGTGCGACCTGGGTGCATAGATGTTCGAGGCAGGATCCTATAAATGTGTTGCAGGCAAGGATTTGCTCAGACCACTTTCTTGATTCAGATTATGATCCTTCCTACCTTGTGAAAGCATCCCTGATGCCAGGTGTGAGCCCATGTCTGAAGACTGATGCGGTTCCAACACAGAATCTGCGCAGTGCTGGGTCTTCGGGGTATGTATTTCATTTTAATGGATTTGATATGAATGCCAACTATTCAGTTGGTAATGTACTAATTCGAATCTTTCTTATTGTGATGGAAATTGTAACAAATTTATATTTGCTTTTGGATTTGCACTGTGACTGTGTGCGCTTGTCAGATATGTACCATGACACATTAATTTGTAAATTAGGTTGCTAGTAAGCAGGTAGGTACCAAGTTAGGTACCGCTACCGACATATTTGCATGATACTTGAAACATTTTGCATATCAATATAATCTGTGCATCAGTCACCAATGCTCAAAGCAGCTCACTGAAGTTGTGCCCTATTTGAATGTTGATGTAAATGGTGTTTTCACAGACCGGCGCAACAAAGCACTCGGGCTTCAAGGAGTGATCGCCGACAGATGAAGTCCCTTGCGCAGGACATCATCAACACTGAGGGAGCATCCTCATCTCTGAGTGATAGATCAAGGTGAGGAGATAATTGAATTTGATATTTTCTTTGTTAGGTGCTTGAACTGTCAATACAAGGGCCCTGTTTCACCAGTGATAGCAGCACGCTGCTATTACACGTGTCAAATTGGGTTTCCATGGAAACATCAACAAAGCATGACTCAGTCAATCTGTGTGATGTCATCAAATATTGCTGCTAGCATCTTCACGGCCATGCGATCAAACAAATGTATCAAACGCAATTCAACGAGACAGCAACTCTGGTCCAAACGAAGCTCACGGATTGCACGAAACGTCATTAGTGTGACCTCATCACATTACGTCAGCTCGTGCAATTTGATAGTAGGTAGCGTGCTGCTATCACCGGTGAAACAGGGCCAAGGGTTCCAGCAATCAGTAGTTTTGATAGAGACTGAATACACTCAGATGCTAGCTTTGAGAATGATGTTGCAATCAGACTCAGACTAAGCTTACCTCTGAATCACTTGAGTGGAAACTGTGGGCAAGGCTCTAAACCTGGGCCCTGTTTCACCGGTGATAGCAGCACGCGGCTATCAAATTGCGCGAGCTGACGTAATGTTCACGTTAGCTGACGCTAGCTGACATTAGCTCACAGTTGTGCAACTCTGAACTTATATTTATTCTATTGCTTTACATTACTCTGAAGAAGACTATTCCTTAACCTTCCAGGCAGGGGGAGTGGGGCCGGGGGGCATTTTCTTACATGGCCATAGTAAAATTGAGTTCATATTGTTTTGACTCTTGGTGACCTGACCTGTGACCTGAGGTGGTATTATCAGTGACCTCTCATAGCAATATATGCACTAGGAAACTGGCGCCCTATCGCTGATTTTCGATTAAATGCATTTTACTTGATGTTATATTGCATTCCCAAGAAGACCCGTGAACAGTTTATTTTTATTGAACATTTTATTTTTGACCTGACCTGTGACATCATCGGTAACCCCAAGGTCAATAAAATTGGATTTCCCCCGAAAAATTAGACAGGGCTAAAGCACGCTGTTTGATTTTGCAGATCCATCCAGTAGTTTCGGAGATATGGGGGAGGCAAAAAAGTCCCACCCCCGCTCGTAAGGTGGCCCGGAGGCCCACCGCCTGCTGGGTCAATTATTAATTTTCAGCTTAACCGTGATGATAATTCACCCTGAAAATGAAGCGCGCTGTTCATTTTTTTTATTTCAGATGCAAGAAAATACTAATGCTCTATTTCCTTCCCACAGATCTATCTCACTGGATGCTTCGAACCAGATGGAGTGGTCTCCTGCAGCTACGGATTTGCCGGCTGGCGAGGTCCAGTATCTGTCTCCCCTGGAGGAAGTGCAGAAGTTGAGCCAGCAAAATCGGCGTTTGAAGCTGCGCATGGAGAAACAGAAGCGGCAGTGGCGGCAAGAGAGACAGATGCTTCTGCGGAAGCTGCGAGTGGCTGAGCGGAAGGCGCACAAGCTCCAGAAACTGCTCAGATTGGGAGTCGTCACGGAAAAGCAGGTCTCGACTGTCCAGTCGGGTCACAGAGTGCAGTGGACAGCAGAGGACATCTCTCGGGCACTTGGACTGCGGTGCAGGAGCCGAAAGGCCTACGAGTATGTGCAACAAGTGATGCACCTGCCTCTTCCTTCCGCTGCGACCCTGTCTCGCTGGATCCGCGGCTTCCGCGTGACGCCCGGAGTAATAGAGGCAGCTCTCGCCGTACTGAGGGCAGCAGTCCAAGGTATGGGCGCCTTGGAGCGTCTATGTGTAGTGTCCTTCGACGAGATGGCACTGAGCAGCCGATACTGCTACGACGCATCAGCCGATCAAATCCTTCAAGGATCTAAACTGCAGCTTCTGATGGTTCGTGGACTCTGTGCTGCATGGAAGCAGCCACTATTCTACGAGATCGACTCTCCTATGACTAATCAGAAGCTGAACAGCGTCATCTCCGTGCTGGAGTCGCTGGGTCTGAGGGTGACAGCGGTCGTCAGCGACATGGGCGGAGCAAACGAGGGGATGTGGCGCTCCTCCGGCATCTGCGCCGACCGGACGTGGATCATCAACCCCGTGGACGATACCAGGTATTTCATTAGTGCCAACTTGAATCTCCTCTGTAGATCCAGAATCAATTTTGGCTTGTACTGCAATAACAATGTTAAACAGTTACAATTGTCGTAGTTTATTACGAAAATTATTTTTATGATGCATGAAAATGTAGTAGCTTCGTGATCAATAAGCCATTTAATGCTGTCGGTGACCGATGTGTTTCGCTCCACCACCCCCACTGAACCATACAGCATTGAGATAAGTGTTGTTGGAGGCAACTTTCAGACATATTCATGGACACCCTTGTCGTTAACGTGTGTGTCCGCATCAGTATAAAACATAAATGAATCTTGTTCATAAGGATCTTAAAATTGTTATCTTTGTATGTATGATTTCATTGCCATTTTGTCGATTGATCCCAGATACCTGACTGATCATTTGATGCTTTTCAATATCTTAACAGGTTTCAAGCAAGTGCAGTGGCGTAGTAAAATCATCCTATGAATTTATGAATCATAAATTATGTTTTCGCGGCATGGCCTTGTCCCCGATTCCCACAGATCCAGCCTCACAGTAATCTTAATCCTCACACGTATTGCATACAAAGTGAGCCTGCTGCCCGTGACCCGGTTAAAGTGACCATCCCTGATCCCACTCTAACATTAGTTTTGAGTTGAGATAGCCAAAATGGGGTCCCTGGCTTGCACTTACCGGTTTGAGCACTCACAAGATCGAGCAATGCCTCAAATCGAAAATATCTAATTTCAAAGTTGCAGCACTTGGATTCAGAGGGGCTAATGCATTAGAATGCTCCCTCTGAATGTGTGACGTCAGCGCAGATCTAAAGATTTCAAATCTTTTACTAAAACATTTGGTAGCACGCGATGGTATACGCTGCTTTGCGCGCAACAAGTGCCGCACTTTCAAATAAAGTCACTAGGAACAGCGGAGATCCCAAAAAGTAAACAAACGTAAAAGTCCAATGTCTTGAAAACCGGTGAATATTTTTCGATGAAATTTGGTAGATATTCGTTTTGGCTCTTTCTGAACCGAGCGACATCACTTTCATGCCATTTCATTAACTTTTTTATTTTAACCGCTTTTTGAGCCAGCTATTCGTGAAAAAAACGAGGGAGAG